GCCACCACGAGCGTCCATATTGCCTTTGGTGCGGCGAGAGAGCGCTCGCCCACAGGCGTGTACATCTTGAGGAAGTGGGATGGCCGAGACCTCGCAGGCATTACGGCTTGGCATCCACCGGGACGGACCGTTTGACGGAGCTCCTTCAGCAACAAGCCATCTTTCGTGCGACAGAGATAGCTTTCCGACGGTGCTAACATGGAACGGTGCAGCCCGAGGTACGTCGCTTTGCGTTGCGTAGTAGACCAGGCGAGAGGTCTCTGTACGAGACGACTCTTAGATCGGGTGGAAGGCCAACGCCAAACGAGGAGTTCAAGGTTCTGGCCGCACCGAAGAACGTGGACAACATGTCGTGCGTTTGGGCTCACGGTGCACGAGCACCACGCTTGCATTCGGCTTGTACTCGGTATGCGTAGGCGAAATGGCTCTTCCAGTGTATGCATGACTCTACGGGCGACTCGATAGATGGCGACTGATCAGCCCGGACTGACATCGTCTTGACGCCGAATAGAGAAATCCAGCCAAGTCGTTCATTTTCAGATTGAGCTTAGTGCGTTCAAGCCGCGCTACGGAGGTCTCTACCAAGAATCCATAAACCCTTATCTTATCTCTCTCTACTTGCGTTCTCTCTACTTGTACTTGTATTAATATGACTCTATGACTCTTGAGTCTCACAGTTGGCAGCGAATCGAATTTCACAGGATTTATATCATATCGAAAATGCGAGTTTATAATATGTACAAGTCTATCCAAAGATGCAGTATTCTGCTTTGAGGTCGGTGGCGAAGAGCAGCAAGACCATGGATCGCAAGCGCAGCTACCGCAGCCGTAGCCGCAGCCCTCGCCGGGACCGAAGCAGCCGTCGTGACCGAAGTAACAGCAGAGACAGATCGCGTCGGGACAGCCGGTCGCGTGACCACGAGCGCAGCCGGACCCGCGAGAGCCAAGGGCGCTACACGACGCCACGGTACGTTTGCCAGCCTCGAATTGGTCATAGACCCATGCAATTGCCATGTAGCACCGAGTGGTACTCGTCGTCGTCGCGCCACTCTGCATCGCGCATGTCAACGCCGTCGACGTGGGCAGAAAAGCCGTCGCCGGCACCGAGCTCATCGAGCCGGTCGGGTCTCGGGCTCAACGCGAGCGACTGGGAGGAGCCCGAGCAGCTGCATTCGGCGAGCATGTCCCACAGCGAGCAGCGCACGGCGAAAGCATCCGAGTGGGATGCGCCAACGCCGTACGATTGCGCTTGCAACTTTAGAGTGCTTATGGTACCACATAGGTCTCCGATGCGTGTCGCGTCGTCGCAGCCCTCGAGCACGCGCTCGTCGAGCGCATCGACGTCGCAGCGTCACGCCGACATGATCGCCAAGGAGACGCGTCATCGTCTCGGGCGCGGCGACTACGCCAAGAAGGAGTACGACGATGCGGACGAGGAGCGCTTTGACCGCGAGTTTTACCTTCGCGACGAGGCCGATACGTACGGCCACGAGTCGGCGTTCCTCGGCAACGCCGAGAAATTCCGCAAAATCGAAGACGACATGCTCAAGAGCCGCCAGCGCGGTATCGATCTTCGACATCATGCACTGGATGCCATCGTCGACTTGTCTAGGCGACCTTAAGCTGCGAGGCAAGTCGGCCCGTGCGTCGGCGCTCAACCAGGACCAAGAAGCTTGGGAAAATAACCGGCTTTTGACCAGTGGTGTCATGGCGACGACGGTACGACGCCTGCGCTGCTTGCGATATCCTACATCTCAAGACACAGCTCTTCTTTGCGCTCTAGGAAGTCGACACGGAGTTTGACGACGAGCTCGACGCGCGCGTCCAGATCATGGTGCACAACACCAAGCCGCCGTTCCTTGATGGCCGTGTCTCGTTCACGACGCAGGTACACCTATGACGCTACTACGCTTTCGATTCATCCGCTTGTAGATGGAGATGGTCGCTACCGTCAAGGACGCCACCTCGGACATGGCCGTGTGTGCGCGCAAGGGCAGTGAGCTCCTTCGCGAAGTCCGCGAGCAGCGCGAACGGTGCGAATGCAAGCGCAAGCATTGCTTGACGCCTCTTTAGGTCCAAGATGCGCAAGCGGTTCTGGGAGCTCGGCGGATCCCGCATGGGCGACGCCATTGGCATCCAAGCGCCCGACGCCAACGTCGACGAAGACGGGAACGCGCTCCCGCCCGAGCTCACGGACGCACCGAGCACGGGGCCGCATCCGGACGACGTCAACTACAAGGAAGAGTCGCAGTTTTCGTCGCACATGAAGAAGAAGATTGTGGCTGTGAGCGATTTTGCGAAAAGCAACACGATTGGCGAGCAGCGGCGGTACCTCCCGATCTTCCAGTGCCGCAGCGAGCTCATGCAAGTGATCCGTGACAACCAAATCGTTGTCATTGTCGGCGAGACGGGCAGCGGCAAGACGACGCAGCTCACGCAGGTATTTTTTTGATATTTTCCGCTTTTTTTTCGACTGAAAGTATAGTACATGCACGAAGACGGGTACTCCAAGTTTGGCATGATTGGGTGCACACAGCCGCGCCGTGTCGCTGCCATGTCGGTCGCCCAACGTGTGAGCGAAGAGATGGGCTGCACCCTCGGCGAAGAAGTCGGGTACCGAGCCTCGACCTTGCGTGTCATGGGGTGATAACGCTGCTATGCGTATGTAGGTATGCGATTCGCTTCGAAGACTTGACGTGCGACAAGACGATCGTCAAGTACATGACCGAAGGCGTCTTGCTCCGCGAGTCGCTTCGCGAGTCGGACCTCGACAGCTACTCGGCCGTCATCATGGACGAAGCCCACGAACGGGCGCTCAACACGGATGTGCTCTTTGGTATCCTCCGCAAGGTATATCCACCTATCCAGGTATCCATTGTATGTATACTTCTATCGACTAGGTGGTCCAACGCCGGCGCGACTTTAAGCTTATCGTGACGAGTGCGACGCTGGATGCCAACAAGTTTGCTAGCTTCTTCGGCGGCGTCCCGCTCTTTACGATTCCCGGCCGCACCTTCCACGTCGACGTGTTCGTACTCGATCTGTGTTTGGATTGATAGATTGATACATTTATATGAAATTAGCATGTACGCCAAGTCGCCGTCCGAAGACTATGTGGACGCGGCCGTGAAGCAAGTGATGACGATCCACCTCAGCCATCCGCGCGGCGACATTCTCGTTTTTATGACGGGCCAAGAAGACATTGAGGCCACGTGCTACTGCCTCGCCGAACGCATGGGCAAGATCGACGGCGCGCCACCGCTCATGGTAGACGCTGATATATGTGTCTTTGGTCTCAACTCGATACCTTGATATTCTTAGGTACTGCCCATGTACTCGCAGCTGCCCGCGGACCTCCAGGCCAAGATTTTCGACGCGTCCGATGTGCGCAAGTGCATCGTGTCGACCAACATTGCGGAAACGAGTCTCACGGTCGACGGTATCCGCTACGTGCTGGACCCGGGCTACTGCAAGATCAAGGTGTACAACCCGCGCATTGGCATGGACGCGCTGCAGGTGACGCCAATCTCGCAGCAAAACGCGAGCCAGCGCTCGGGCCGCGCCGGCCGTACCGAGCCAGGGTCCGTGTATCGACTTGATATGGCTCGATTTCTAACGTTTGGGTAGCGTCTGCTATCGGCTCTACACGGAGCGTCAATTTTGCAACGAGATGATGGAAGCCCAAGTGCCCGAGATCCAGCGCACGAACCTCGGCTCGATCGTGCTCTTGCTCAAGTCGCTCGGGGTCAAGAACCTGCTCGAGTTCGACTTTATGGACCCGCCGCCCCAAGACAACATCACCAACTCGATGTACCAGCTGTGGGTCCTCGGCGCGCTCGACAATACGGGCGAGCTCACCGAGATGGGCAAGAAAATGGTACCTCATGCACCGATGTGCTTGATAGATTGATACTTGGGTAGGTGACGTTTCCGCTGGACCCGCCGTTGGCCAAGATGCTTCTCTTCTCGGCCGAACTCGGCTGCAGCGACGAAGTGCTCATTGTCGTGTCGATGCTCTCGGTGCCGAGCGTCTTCTTCCGCCCAAAGGACCGCGAAGAAGAGTCGGACGGCGCGCGCGAAAAGTTTTTCGTGCCCGAGAGCGACCACCTCACGCTCCTCAACGTCTACAAGCAGTGGGTGGTATGTGCTCTCTTGGGTTTGAAAGATTGATACTATTTGGAACAATGCTAGTCGAACAGCTACTCGAACGCGTGGGCCAACGACCACTTTATTCACGCCAAAGGCATGCGCAAAGCGCGGGAAGTCCGCGAGCAGCTCATTGACATTATGAAACAGCAAAAGATCCCGCTGGTCTCGTGCGGCCCGCACTGGGATGTCGTGCGCAAGGCGATTTGCTCGGCGTACTTTTACAACTCGGCGCAAATCAAGGGCATTGGCGAGTACGTCAACATGCTCACGGGCATGCCCTGCAACCTGCACCCGAGCTCGTCGCTCTTTGGCCTGGGCTACACGCCCGACTTTGTAGTCTACCACGAGCTCATCTACACCACCAAGGTATCCAGCATCGATCCCGCATCCCTCGATGGATATCCGAACCGGAACGCTCATGCTTGTGGCGTCGTAGGAGTACATGCAGTGCACGACGTCGGTCGAAGGCGAGTGGCTTGCGGAGCTCGGCCCGATGTTCTTCAGCGTCAAGGAGAGCTACAAGTCGCGGCTCCTCAAGCGCGCAAAGGAAAAGAACGAGCGCGCCGACATGGAGCACGAGATGTCGATGCAGCACGAGCGCGAAGCGTTCGAAGCCGACCGCGCAGCCCGCGCCGCGAAGCGCAACAAGGACAAGGCCAAGCTCTCCATGTACATGAGCATGAACCTGCAGCAAGGAGGCTCATGAGGCATCTGTGTTATGTAGGGTGACACCGGGCCGCGCCAACAAGCAGGCCAAGACGCCGCTGCGGACGCCATTGCGCTTTGGGTTTTAACGTGGTCAAGCATGCATCTTTGCTTTCGACGAGGCTGCGCAAGACGAAGGACGATGATCTCTAGTACACACACGGATAGATTGAAGGATAGTAGTCGTTGGCTGGGGGTTCTAGAAAGGGATATCTACGGCTTGGTGGCCTCGGCCGCCTCGGGCTTGGCCTCGGGCGCCGGCTCGTCGACCTTGAGGAGTGCTTCCTTTGCCCGAAAGATCTTGGACTGTAGGTAGTACGAGCCGCCGCCACCTGCCGTGTCGTTGGCTTTAAAGTACCGGTCGAATTGCTTTTCAATCTCGGCGGCGGACGGGTTGGGCTTGAGGTTGAGCACCTCGATGGCCTGCTCCTTGGACATCTTGGCCTTGAGGGAGACCGAGGCCGAGCTCGCGACCGAGGTCTTGCCGCTCTTGGCGTTGACGATGGCCTGCTGGTACGCCTGCACGAAGGCCTTGGAGACGACGCCGGCGCCGGCGACGACGATGTTGGCGATCAAGCGCGCGACCTGCCCCGACATGCTGCTGCTGCTGGTGGTGGAAAAACAGAACTGGCCGATTATCCGGATCCGTTCAAAACACTATATGTTTTCGAACCGTCGAGAAACAGATCTGAAATAGTGTGCAGCCATCGCGGTTCACGGTTGACAAAACCGCTTCAACCGGTTTACGATCCCTCGGCAGCCGTAGACAGATGCGCACGTCGACAACAACCCTTGCGAGCATTGCGAAGATTGTACTACCTCGCGTCCAGTAGACCTATGCTAACTACATGGCATTCTTGGACGGTTCGGTTGCTCATACCTTCCATGGTGCTGTCGTTGGGAACCCAGCGAGATGCAAGTCGTCGGTTCGGCTAACGTGTTGCCAGATTGAATCTGAATCCCTCGAAAAACCAGATTGAAAATCAGATTTGGAGGCTCTGGAAGCACCCTATTAAGAGCTACTGGTGAAGGCCCCGCGGTCGTAGCCAATAATACTCGTGTTCTCAAACACGACGTCCGTAGTTGCAGCGAGGGGCGATGCGCGGAGCTGACGTTGCCGGTTAGAAAAGACCGATTGCGCTCTCGACCACATTCGACGTCGCTGATTGGTCTTTTCTGACGCCTGCCAAAGGCCGATCACAGTATTTTGACCAATCAAAGCGATTCGAAAACCAAAGTCCGCGGGCCAAACCGTGACTTATCTCACCGCCGGCAGCAGCACGATGAGCAACAAGCCCGACAAGTCGATCAAGGGCTTCTTCGGCGGCCTCTTCAAGCGCAAGGAGTCGTCCGTAGCCGCGCCGCCGCCCATGCCGGTGGCCGCGCCCAAGCCGGTCGTCGCGCCGGCCCACGTCGTCTCGACGGGGGCGTCGTCGGGTGTGTGCTTGTCGCCGCAAGACGACGACAACGACGCCGGTAGCCCGTGCCCGAGCAACGTGCTCGCAGAGTTCGAGTTTGTCAAGGAGCTCGGGAAGGGCGCGACGGCGGTCGTCAAGCTCTGTCGGCGCAAGGTCCACGATAACCAGAAGGACGACCTCGTGGCCATGAAGGAGTTCAAGACGTCGCTGCTAAAGAAAATGAAGGAGTTCAAGCGCGAAGGCCGGCGCATGGTACCCACCGCCGTCTTCTTGGTCTTGCGTTCGTCTCCTCATCGTCCTTTAGATTGTCTCGACGGCCTTTGACAAGGTGCAGATCGAAATTGCCATCATGAAGAAGCTGTCGCACGCCAACTTGGTCTCGCTCGAAGCCGTCCTCGATGATGGCGACGAGCAGCTCGTGCTCGTGCTCGAGTACGCTCCGTATGGGCAGATCATGGTCTGGGACGCCGCCCAGCTCTCGTACGTACCGTCCATCGACGCACATAGCTTTAGTGCGCCGGCGCCAACGACCCCGGCCGTGCAGCTGGCCAAGAACGGGCTTCCTCTGCACATTGCCCGCAAGTGTTTCCGCGAGCTCCTCATTGGCCTCGAGTACCTCCACACCAACGACATTTGCCACCGGTACACATCGTCTTGCGCGCGCTCTTCGTGGGAGTTGACGCTTCTGCTAGGGATCTCAAGCCCGAAAACATCCTTGTGGGCAACCAGGGCACGGTCAAGATTGCGGACTTCGGTGTCGCCCACTTTTTTGATGACAAGGCGCCGGCCGCGCAGCCCGTGGCGCACGGCTACTTGACCAACTCGGCCGGCACGTATGCCTACATGGCCCCCGAGTCGATGGCGTCGGTGCGTCCTCCATATCTGTGTTGGACGCTTGGCTCAAGTGGTGTGCAGGAGCCGTACAGCGCCTTTGTGGCCGATATTTGGGCGCTTGGTATTACGCTGTATGCGATGCTCTTTGGCTCGCTCCCGTACTTTTCAGCCGAAGTCACGGTACGGGACCGTATAATCGGTCGGTGCAATCACGAATATTTGCTGTTTGATGTAGGAACTCTTTGATATGATCCAAAACAACGTCCGTATTTCGGCATTTTCAGCGGTGGTTCATGGCATATGCTTGTGTAGCCCATCACACTCCCGAATGCGGTGCAAGCGCACCTGGAGCTGACGTCGCTCCTCCTCGGTCTCCTCGAGAAGGACCCGGCGAAGCGACTCACGATCACCGAGATGAAGCGGCACCCGTGGGTCAACCGCGGCTACGAGAGCCAGCGCGAGGACTTTCAAAGCCAACAGATCGAGACCGTTGAAGTGTCGGCCGACGACATTCAGAATGCGTTCACGCGCATTCCGTCCATGGCCGCGCTCACGCGCATGAAGATCTCGTCCAACAAGTGGGCCAACAACGCGCGCAAGGCCGTCAAGGAGAAGGAGCTCATCAAGCAAGCGTCGTCGGCGAGCTCCAACAGTGGCGACACCAAGCCCGAGTCGACCAAGACTGCCTGAGGGATCGTAGTTTTGCTGCAGATCGCTTGGCGCTGCGGTAACGCTGTATAACGGGATACATATACTGTCGTAAAAGCGAGGGCGTATGGGGCCCAGGCGATGCAGACAAGCGCGCCCGTGAGAGCGTATCTCTGAGTCATGCGACGGCGTGCTGCTGTCCAACCAGCCGCCGAACTTCGTGTACGATAATCCAACGCGCAGTACATGGCTCTGCGGTCAACCATCTCCATTCGCCAGCATGGCTGCCGTCGGATGATGGAGGCTTCCCACCTGCGCCTTGCCACTCTCTTAGGAGGCGCAGCTGTCGCGCGTAGGAAGCTCGCTGGGCCTTGTTGATAGCTGCTCAAGAGGAACGCGTCAGCGCCGCCACAGCCCAGCGCCACTGTCCATGGTGGACCCGGGGCGCCCTTCGCCTGTCACAAGACCGCCTGTCTGCGGCGCGATTCGATTGGCTCAAAAGTGCCCTTTTTCGGCCACTCAAAGGGCATGGGTGCGTGGCGTGCGTCGATCTGGTGACGTTAAACTGCCAGAATGCATATTGCACTGCGTTTTTATTCGATCTACGAGTATAACGTCATTGGACTGCTGCTTGAAGCACGGCAAATCCAAGAGACACGGTGGGATTGGTCGGGTTTGGCTTGGACTTTGTATGCTCGGCCGAATCTGGGGTGTAGCGTTCACTTTTGCATTGCCATCATGCAGCGCACGTTCGCCATCGCCAAGCCGCTCCTTCGCCGCGTCCACACGGAGGCCCGCATCAAGGAACTCGGCTACGTCCTTCCCGGCGTCGCCGAGCCCAAGGGCAACTACCGCCCGTGCGTCCGCTCGGGCAACATGATCTTCACGGCCGGCCACTTGCCGCAGCCCGCGGGCGGCGACTTGATCAAGGGCAAGATCGGCGCGGACCTCACGGCTGAGGATGGCTACGAAGCCGCGCACCACGTCGCGCTCGCCTTGTGCGCGACGCTCAAGGCCGAGCTCGGTGACCTCGACAAGGTCAAGCGCATCGTCAAGGTCGTCGGCTTTGTCAACTGCGTCGATGGCTTCACCGCGCAGCCGTCGGTCATCAACGGCTGCTCGGACACGCTCGGCAAGATCTTTGGCGAGCGTGGCGTCCACGCGCGGTCGGCCGTCGGCACGAACGCCCTCCCGCTCGGTATCCCCGTCGAAGTCGAATGCATCGTCGAAGTCGAAAACTAAATGACAGCAGATCTCGTCGTATCGTTGGATTTAAGACAGCGTCTTTTGCCGCAACGCGCTCGCAAAGACGGAAAAGGGCACGAGGGGCACGACGACGTCATTGTCGAGCGTCACGCGCACGAGCCAGTCGGGTCCGTCCTGAAGCAGCTCGAGCACGACCGCCGCGCTGTAGTCGGGCCAGAACGGGTGCACCAACGATGCATCCAACGCGTACAGCAGCGCAAGAAGCGAGACGTCGTGGCCGCTGTAGATGCGAATGGCTTCCTTGGCACTGGTCGCGCCACCGTCCATGCGCCGCTCCATCTAAGATACCATGATGGCCCATGAGTCGTTGTCGAGGCGACATCTCCTTACTTGGTCGAGCAGCTCGGTGGCCAGCCCCGTGGCGACGAGACGCAGAATGGTCGGGTCTGTATAGTACTAGGCGCAACATTAAGGAAGGAGTCATTGCGTCCGTAGTATCGTGATACCTGGTGGAATCGCAGCGAGAGGTGGTCGATGGTAGGCGCCGCAAGCTCCTACACAAGCACCAGGATAGGCGAGCTCTCGGACAAGGATGTCGTACCTGCGTCTCTGGAAGGCACTGGAGGGCGTGGGCATCTCGGCAAATGAAGTGGTCGGCCGCCTTCATCCACGTAAAGGCCTCGCCACCCTCGCGGAACATGGGCAGTCGATGCATGAGCTCTTGCTTGAGCGGCTCAACGCGCGCATCGTCCTTGGCGTACTCGGGGTGGTCGGCGATGAGCTGCATCTTGAGCGGAATGATCACGTCGCCGTTGGCGCTGTACGCTAGCAGCAACATCTCGCTTGATCGTCGCGGGTACCAATAAGATCTCGTACCGTTGATAAAGTTGAGATGCCGAGGAAGCACGTGCACGTCGCTCATCGCGGCGGCGTGCGGGGCCAAGCGCGAGAGCAGCGCCAGCACGCTCTGCTGCGTCCGGTCGTACGGCGTGCTCAGCACCTTCAAGTCCATACGTTCATCACGCAGCGTCCATCCTTGCGACAGGCATTGTTCGCGCTACATGTGCACGAGTTGTTGTCGCTGCATTCGTCACGTTGCCCACGTACGAGTTGGTCGCCCCGGGCTCGCATTTGGTCAACGCCGAGAGTCGTGAGCTGGCCGTAGACGCCGGTCGCGGGCGCATGGAGCTTGGGCGCCCAGAGCGCATCTTCCTTGGACGCACGCCATGGCACGCCCGCAAACACGTTGTGCAGCGGCGACCGGTCGCCATGGCGGTGGAGCACCTGGACAAGCCGCAGGCGCATGTCGAAGCGGACCGAAGCAGCCTACTGTAATACTCGGTAAGTGCGTATCTTGTGTCCTCTCAAGTACGGTGGCAAAGTCTTAAGTACGTGGACACGGTCGGGCACATTGCAGGAGCCAGGCGACGACGAAGAAGTCTTGGCGCAATTGCGTTCGGGAGCAGGTATCGAGCTGTGTCCCACTCGTCCATGCTCTGGCAGCCTGCAAAGGCGCCCGGCAATACTTCCATGCTGGTCTAGTCATCTCCTGGCTGCGTCCTGCAGTGTAGACATGCCTCAAGCCACATTGCACACAGCAAGCGTGGCAGCATTTTGTTGTCGTCTAGCCTGCCCAGCATCTTCCTCCATGCGATACCCTTTCACAGCAGTCGGCTGCTCTCATGGGACTTGGTAGTCGACGATGCAAAAGCATGCGAAACCTTCTCGTTGAAGTGAAGAGGACATTTGCGTTGTTGACTCGGAGTGTAGCAATTGAAGCGGCCTTGACGTTGGATCGACATCGCCTCGTACTGTGTAGTGTGCCGTGTCGTGGAGAGGCCGGATAGATAAGCCTCGTCGGCTGCCAAGGACCCGAGTGGGCCTTGTTGAAGCTGGAATAATTTGCGGCTGCGACGTTCCGGCGGCCAAAAAACACCCGCGGTTCTCCGCCGCAGGTGCGAGTCACATGCACATCACCTGCACGCTGCATGGGAAAGCGGATGCGAGTCCCACGCTGTCGGTTCGAGAACGCGGCGCCGCCACCACACATTTCCCCGTGTCAATGAACCAAACCGTGACGTATCTTTGGCCCGACGTACTTGGGCTCTGCACGTTACGAGACCGACAGCGGTGGCGTGCGTGGGACGCAGAACCTCCGATCGTTCTAGCTACTCGGCAGTATTACATCGCCTTCTTCCGTCGCAAGTACCTTGCTGTCGCGAAGACAGGCAGTCAACGGGGCGCATTACTTTATAGAGGGACTTTGCCTGTCCCTGCCCCGTGCGTGCATAGAACCTTCCATCCGCGCCGCGTCGATATGCAATGCGAGAGGTTTCTTCGCGCCCGAGGGTGGGACGGCCAATTTTTGCATTGTCAATGACACACCCCACCCCCTATCACTTGGCCATTGCTTCTCCGCCAAGCGGCTACTCGTTGGTTGAGACTGCCCATGTTCGTTTCGCCTTCTTTATCCCAATAACATCAACTACCTGCGTCCTTCTACCCCTTACACGAAACGAAGCCAAAGAACGCGCCGCCTTGCAAGATGCGCCGGCAGCTGCTTGAACATGTGGCCCTAATGACGTCAAGGAGCTTGGACGAGTGACCTTTGGCACAAGCGATGCGACTAAGTGCGATTGCATACAAAGACCAAGACGTACATTATTTCAATTTGGCGGAGCAGGCGGCATAGAGCTGTCCATAGACACCATGTGGCATCTTTAAAAACCACCCGACGACGTACATGGAGCGTACATTCGAATGTACTATCTAAATGTACGTAGGGAATGGACGGTGTACGTACGTACGGGATTGTCAGCTGCGAGCCGAGAGCGCGGTCAAGATCAGCGGCGCGGTGGATTTCCCCAGTCATTTGGACATTTTCTCTGCAACTCCCACCCGATGTCGACAGCCGAGCACACGCAGGTAGAGAGCGACGATACCATGATGACCCAGGAGGGGACGACCTCATGGGCCGAGGAAGAGCAGAGGCTCATGGAGATGTCCGTGGTAGGTGTACATCCCCGACGACAAGGTCGCGTGGATCGCTGCGCAAGTGCTGAGCGCGACCGGGGATACCTTTGAGGTCCAGACCCAAGGCGACGCGTCCGAGGAGTTCCTGAGCGACCACCCCAAGGACGGCGCCCATCGCACCGTGCCGGTACGACGACGACGATGGCAACGACGGCAAGATGGCTCATGCAACCATGTAGAAAGCGGCCGTGTGCTTGCAGAACGTGCTGCCGGTCGACGGCTGCAGCGACATGGTGCACCTCAACTACCTCCATGAAGCCGCGATCTTGTACAACCTCAAGACGCGCTTCCACCGCGGCTTGCCATACACATACACGGGCCCCATCTGCATTGCCGTCAACCCCGTACGTGTCTCGCGTTAACGTCGACGGACACGCCGCTCATGCTGCTATGCGTCTAGTACAAATGGCTCGATATTTACAACCCCACGGTCCAATCCAAGTACATGGAGGTCGAAAAGCTACCGGAGCTGCCGCCCCACGTCTACGCCGTCAGCGCGCGGTCGTACCATCACATGCGCGTGTTTGGCGAGAACCAGAGCATCCTCGTGAGTGGCGAGTCGGGCGCTGGTAAGACCGAGACGACCAAGATCCTCATGTCGCACCTTGCGACGGCCGGCGACCGCACGGACGCGGACCACGCCATGACGATGAACATTGTTGACCGCGTGCTCCAGTCCAACCCGCTCATGGAGAGCTTTGGTAACGCCAAGACGTCGCGCAACGACAACTCGTCGCGCTTTGGCAAGTTCAGCGAGCTCCAGTTCAACGCTGAATGCCAGCTCGTCGGTGCGCGCTGCAACACTTATTTACTCGAAAAATCCCGCGGTACGTCGACCTTTCTGCGCTGCGAATGAGGCTTCTGACATCGTCGGCCTAGTCTCGACGCACGGCAAGGGCGAGCGCAACTACCACATCTTTTACCAGCTCCTCGCGGCGCCCGAGGCCATCCGCACGCAGGTCGAGCTCCACGAGACAGACCCGATGGCGTTCCCGTTCCTTCGCGGCACGTCGGCGAACGGCGAGAACGTCATGACGGAGCTCGACGCCGAGTACTTTGGCCGGACGCTCACGGGCCTCACGACTCTCGGGATTGCTGAAGCCGATCAAATGTACGCGTGCTCTCTACCCCTTGACGATGCAACAGTCTCATGAACTCTATAGCTCGGTGTTTGGCATCGTCTCGGCCATCTTGCACCTCGGCCGCGTCGAGTTTCAGGGCGATGAAGCTTCCATGGTGGCGACGCCGGCCACGGTGGCCGCGGTCACCAAGCTCCTCGGGTTCAGCGCGTCCGACTTTGAGCAGAGCTTGTGCACGCGCCAAATGGCCGCGGGCCTCGACTCGTACACGGTGCCGCACACGATGGAGCAAGCGACGAGCGCGCGCACGGCCTTGTCCGTCGCGCTCTACAGCAAGCTCTTTGATTGGCTCGTCACGCACATCAACGCGTCGACGTCGTCCAAGATGCACGTGAGCCACCGCATTTGCATCCTCGATATCTTTGGCTTTGAGATCTTCGAGAACAACTCGTTTGAGCAGCTTTGCATCAACTACGCCAACGAAAAGCTGCAGCAAAAGTTCACCCAAGACGTCTTCAAGTCGATCCAGAACGAGTACGAGGAAGAGGGCATTCCGTGGACTAAGATCGACTTTGCCGACAACGTCAACGTGCTCGAGCTCATCGAAGGCCGCTTTGGTCTCCTCGCGCTGCTCAACGAAGGTACTTCGATGGGCTTTTTGCCATGACTCGGGTCTCACATGCTCTTTTTGTCTAGAGTGCATGCGGCCCAAGGGCAGCGACTCGGCGTTCACCAACAAGCTCTCGGCGCACTACAACGACAACGACCGGTTTGAGATCCCGCGTCTGCGTCGCAACTGCTTTGCGATCACGCACTACGCCGGCTACGTCTCGTACGAGACGTCTGGGTTCCTCATCAAGAACACGGACGCGCTCCAGAAGGATGTGCTCAGCCTTCTGTACCGGTCGACGTCGCCGTTCATCAATGCGCTCTTCCCCGCGCCGGCCGAGAACAAGGCGGCTGTCATGACCAACCGTCTCCGCCGGTCCAACTCGATCCTCGCCGACTCGGTCGGCACGCAGTTCAAGTCGCAGCTCAACGCGCTCATGGAGGACATCCGCCGCACGCACGTCCAGTACGTGCGCTGTATCAAGCCCAACAGCAACAAGAGCCCGCACAGCTTCTCGAAAGGCCGTGTCGCGTCGCAGCTGCAGTGCGCCGGTGTCGTCGAGGCCGTGCGCATTAGCCGCATGGCCTTCCCGAACCGCCTCTTGCAGCAAGACTGTCTCCAGCGCTTCCGCCTCCTCTTGGCCAAGTCGTCGGCGTGCGACTCGGACGACGACGAGGTCAACCAGTGCGCGCAGCTTTTGAACCAGCTTCTGACGGCATCGGACTTTCAGCTCGGCAAGTCGCGCGTGTTTTTCCGCGCCGGCGCGCTCGAGCGCCTCGAAGACCTTCGCACGCGCCAGCGTGACGCGAGCGCGGTCATTCTCCAGCGGGTCGCACGCCAATGGGCAGCGACGACGCACTACCGTAAGGCGCGCAAGGCCGCGATCGTGCTTCAGTCGTACACGCGCATGTTCCTCACGAGCCGCCGGTACCGCGCCATGCGCCTCGCGGCAATCACGCTCCAGTGCGCCGTGCGCTGCTACATGGCGAATGCGGTCGTGCATGGCATGCGCCAGACCAAGGGCGCGCTCAAGATCCAAGCGACGTTCAAGATGCACGTTGCGTACACCAAGTACATGCGCGTGCGCAACGCGAGCATCATGATGCAGTGCCTCGTGCGCGGCTTCATTGCCAAGAAGGGCTACGCCCGTCTTCTCGTGCAGGCGAAAGAGGAAGCGAAGCTCGAGAACCAGATCCAGCGCCTCAAGGACCGCTTGAAGGAGGAGAAGGCGCGTGCGGACCAGCTCAGCCGTCGGGCGAGCATGGTCGGCAGCGTGCCGCTTGACATTGAGCTCGAAGGCGCGAGCGGTCTCATCGACCAGCTCCGCGCCGAAATGACCCTGCTCAAGGACGCGAACGCGACGCTGAAAGTCCAAAACATCCAGCTCAAGAAGGAGAAGGAAGGCATGGAGCGCGGTGCGTACGTCAACGGCGCGTCGTTTGCGGCCGCCAACCAGCGCGCGATCAAGCTCCAAGAGGAGGTCGAGTTTCTCAAGCTCGCGCACGTGCGCATCAAGGAGACGCACAAGACGCTGCGCATGCAGAACACGGCCAGCATGGAGGGCATCCACCATCTGCAAATGGAGCTCCACAAGGCGGTGTGCGAGCGCAACGCACTGCAGCAAAGCCACATGGCGCTTCAGACCCACCTCGGCACGCTCGAAGCCGACAACTCGGAGCTCACAAAGGTGAACGCACGCCTCCGTCTCATCCTTCGCCAAGACCCGGAGCTGAACCGCAAGAGCCGCGAAGAAGTCGCGGGCATGATGAAGAACGTGCGTCAAGCTCAAGAGGCCCGCGCCAAGCCCGCTGCCGTGACCTTTGCGTCCGTGACGGCGGCATCGCTCATCAAGCCCGTGGCTGTCTTGCAGCCCGAGGTCACGGCCATCATGATCAAGGCCAACCAGATGCCCAAGAAGCCCAAGGGGCTCTCGAACCGTGTCATCAACCTCGCCGAAGCGGTCAAGGAAGAAAACGAAAAGGCCAATGTCCGCCAGCCCAAGGGCGTCGACGGGCCGCTGCCCTCGCCCGGCAAGGTCATGGGGCTTGTCGAGTCGGACGACGAAGGCGATGAGAAGGTGAGCTTCCGCGTCACGCTCGTCGACGTGGCCGAAGAGCCGCCGGTCCCGACAACGGCGCAGGTCGTCAAGCGCGTCGCGGTCGGCCCGCCGATGAATGGCAACGGCCGCCAGCCGCCGCCGCCGCCGACCAACAACATGAACATGAACAACAACAATGGCTGGAAGACGCAGACGGGCAACCGCGCGCGTAGCAACTCGAGCCAGACCAAGGGTCGTCCGCGCACCAACTCGCGCGAGAAGGACGAGTCGCGCCAGCGCGGGCAGGCGCAGCGCCAGCAGTCGCCGCCCTACCATCGCCGCGGGAGCTCGACGAGCCTCGGCAACGTACCAGGTGGCAACTTTCGCCGAAGCGGCTCGAGCAGTGTCAACAGCGCCGACGGCCACCCCTCGCAACGCTCCATGGGCCGCGGCGGCCGCCACGTCGAGTTGTGAGCGCAACCCACAATACTAGTTGCTAGGCTTTTTTATTACCATCATTTATATACATCACCAATGCATAAACGGTTCTCCGTCTTGGAGTATCACAAACGTGTCAGGGCAATGGACGAGCTCAAGAGAGTAAGTATACCGAACCCTCGGATGGTGTGTAGCTGATACCTCGATACCCATTCGCCTCGCCCAATCGGTTTTCTACTTTGTTATCAAGGTATCAAGGTATCGAGGTATCGATTCTTCCTTGACAGTCACTTGAAGCACGAGCCGTACATCTGAGGTCGCGACGTGCCATCAGCAAGCCGCTCAAGACACTTCCCTTCCCAAGCAGCCACCGCGGTGCAACTTGAATACTGCTACGTTGGGCAGGCTCCTTATATATAATTTCTTATTCCAAAACGCAGAAGATCCCGGGTTGCAATGCTATTGTCCCAGGTACGTCTGTCTTGTCGACGCTTAGCTGGACGTAGCGGCCGGGGTCTTGGTGTCGTCGGCGACCTTGAGTACCTCACCAGACTTGACGCTGAGCAGTGCCGGCGACATTGCCATCAAATCGATCTTGAGGCCCTCGGCCCAGTCGAGGAGGTTCTTGGGCGCATACTCCATCGTCGGGTCCTGCAATCGCTGGAGCACACTCGGGTCAATGGTCTCGTTGAGCGTCTTGGACGACCCGATAGGGCGAAAGAAGCGCTGACCCAGCTGCATGATCTGGTACATGAGCGTCATGGACGGGTCGATCTGCGCCGCGTGCCGCACCACTTCTTCCCCATCGAGCTCAATGTCCGAGTCGCGGCGGAAGTCGAGGCCATAGTCGTGTGCACGGTCGCGGATCCACTTGAGCGGCAAGTGGCTCAGCTCGTCGTTGGTGATGCCGCCCCCGACGTTGCTGTGGGCGCCCACAAACCAGCGCTGCTCGAGCCAGTCGTATCCGGCGTCGATCGCGCGTCGGCCGTCGTTGTTGTCGTCGTCGTCGAGGTCTTCCCAGACCGACGCACGAAACGACGAGCGGTGTTCGTCGATCGCGAGCGCGTGGCACATGTGCTCGATGAGCTGGCCGTTCTGGCCGTCCTTCTGGACTTTACCCCAATCGGCCGCGACGACGTCAAAGACGCCGACAAACTTGATGTTGACTTCCTTGCAGTACTGGAGCATCCACTTGCTCTCAGCGTCCAGATTCGTTACATCAGCGAGCTTCTTGAGCTGGTGCAAACTCAGCGCCTCGACGTCGTGCGTGTCGAGCGTGCGCTCGTAGCGCTGCCATAGCTGGTCAATGTGCATGGGGCTGTTGGGCTTCATCAAGCCGACGGACCCGAGCATGCCGAGGAGCGCGCGGACTTCGTACCCGCCGCGCGAGAAACCAAAGAGGAAGATCTCGTCGCCATCGTTGTAGTGCTCGACGAGCCACATGTAGGCGTTGCGGATGATGTCGGTCATCCCGACTGCAAACGCGCCGCCAGTGATCCAGTGACCAAACTTGTTGCCGACGCCGACAAAGTACTTGCGGATCTGGTGCACGTGCCCAAAGGTCCCGTCGGCCATTTGCATGTAGAGACGCCAGACGTTGGTCTGCGTCTGCTTCTGGTTCCACGTGCCGTCGAGGAAGATGCCAATGCGTTTCTGGATCGGCTTGACGGCTGCCGCCTTGCGCGGCGATGTGGCAAGACGCATCGACATGATATGGAAGAAGCACGCGTACGCAGCTCGAGGCGAAAGCGGAATTGATCTGGCCCGATACAAACCTAGCGAGGATGGCTGCTTCTCCGCCGCTGTCGTCATCGTAGTGTCGGAGGCAGATACAGGCCAGAAATTTAGAACCAAATTGATTCATGTACTGTGTAGTAGAGATAGCAATGATGGCGGAAGTGGCGGAGGAGGACAGGTTGCGGCGGAGACGGCGGCGACGAGGTGGAAATCGAAAATTTGGCGGCGCGATACGTACTATCGGAGGTATCTTTGACATGGCTCGTTGCGACTCGAATCGAATTATATAGTCTTTACCAGCGCGGACGAGGCAACCATAGGACTTCAACCACGGCAATTAGCCAGCGGATCTTGCTAGCGCGGCTCTCGACCGTCCGTTCTCCGCCCATATGACTTGTATCGAAACGTTTCAGCCGGTATTACGGCCCTATCAGCGCCGGTCGCCAGCCATCCATTTTCGTACTGTAGCATCTCGCCATGTCATCTTTGTCGTACGAGGCGACTACAAGGAAGTGTTTGATTGCGCTTACACGTTGTAGTACGGTGTTTTGTAACGGCGCCACTGCCCCTCTTTGCAAAAATCGACTGACTGATAGAGAATGGGAGCAGAGTCCTTCTCTCGTGATGGTCACAGCGCTGTCACAAGACGCAATGCACGCAGTCGTGGAGGTCACCAAGGGCCTTGAAGATGTACCACTGGCCAATTGGTCGTCACATGAGCAGACTACGCTGCCTCGTAAAGACGCTTGGGCAAAGGTGAACCGTACCGGTACTCGTGCAAGATATCCACATACAACTGGTATTCCTACAGTGATTTGGCAGGAGAATGGCGCAACAGAGCCTGGCCTAGTAATCGGTCTGAGGAAGAACAAACGGTGCAGCACGTTCGCCATTGCATGCAGAGATAAGATGCTTTTTCAATCCTCACCAACCCCTCGCTTCTCGCTCAGTCGCCAATTTTCGAGTTTGCACCGACATGCAGTCGCCACCTGCCAGTCCGCGCCGCCCGCAAGTCAAGCACGTCCCCAAGAAGATCGGGCTCTTCCTCGACGGCACATGGAATGAAAAAACGTCCCAGACCAACGTGTGGAACCTCTACATGCAAATGGCCGACGCAAGCTTTGGCCACGTGCACCAGATCCGCAAGTACTTTGTGGGCCTTGGCACCGGCGCCGGCGAACGCATCATTGGCGGCTTCTTCACGTACGGGATGACCGACATCATCCGCAACGCGTACCTCTGGCTTGTCGAGCACTACAACGACGGCGACGAGATCTTCCTCTTTGGTTTCTCGCGCGGCGCGTGGGAAGTCCGCGCGCTCCTCGGCATGCTCGGGTCGGTGGGCCTCATGCTACCAAACAGCCCACTGCATGTGACGCAGCTCTGGGACCGGTTCGAGCGCTGCAGTCTCCCCGAGGACCACCCGCGGGCCGCCGCGAGCTTGCACCAGCTCGCGACCGGCGCCGCCGCCGATGCCGAAGGTGCGTGGGTGCGCAAGCACTGCAAGGAGGTCAACATCTCGTTTGTCGGGCTCTTTGACGTCGTCTCGGCCGAGCGCCACGAGTTTTTGCACAAGGACGGCGCGAACGGCAAGCTCGTGCGCCGTGTGTGCCATGCGATGGCGCTCGACGAGTTCCGCAAGTCGTTCCAGGTCGAGCACTGCGAGGTCGACCCCGATGACATCAACAACGAGTCGCGGGAGGCGACGCTCATGGGCTACGAGTGGACCGAGCAGCGCTGGTTTGTCGGGTCGCACTGCAACGTCGGTGGCAGTATCCCGTTCGACGAGCTTCACCGGCTACCGCTCAAGTGGATCCGCGACTGCGCCGAAGACGCTGGGCTCGCGTTTCGGCACGAGTCGGATGTGATTCTCGACGGCGAAGAACACCACCGCCACTCGGAGCAGATCTTTGACTCGATGAGCTGGCCGTTCATGCTCGTGCAATTGGGGCAAAAACACATCAGGACGCTCGGCAGCACCCACTCGCTCAACGAGACGATCGATGCGAGCGTCTTCGAGCGCTACCAAGACAAGGCCATGATGTATGCGCCCCGCAATCTCGAGGCGTGGGCCGAGGCGCGCAAGGTGGATCTCAACACGATTAGCATTGGCCTGCGCAGCGTCGCGACAGGCGAGCTCCTCGTTGTCAAGGACACGGTCGCAGCCCCCGCGCCGGCGTCGTAAACAGCTAATCATCGTCGACCCTATCCACTGCATGCATAACAACTACGGAATGTACACCCTGTCCATTTTAAACGGCTAGAGACGCTCGGTGCCTTGACGGTGGAGAGTAATCTCTCGGGAGATATGATAATACATTTGTAGTACAGACCAGACCTAGTACTCTTGAAGCATACATGTCTAGTGTCTGCGAAAGCTAAGCTTATGGCGATGCAGGTTGTTTGGCAATCAGACGGTTTCATGACGTGGCAGCCTCTCGTTACAGCGTATCTTGCACGGTCCTCGAGCTTGAGCGTTGCCCAAAATGCCATGGCCAGGTCAAAGCTTACAATATTGCCGTTCGATGGTGGTAAGGGTCCGAGCTTTCATAGCGCAAAAAGCATGGGCCTGGGCGTATCGGACTGTAAAGGCTGTGAGGTAAAAGCCAGGTTTGCATGGGAAAAACCTGCAACTCGATTTTACAACGAGCGCAAGGAAGTCCTGCATCGCGTCAGTATCGAGAACACCATGCTCTACAACAGCCAGTACATCCAAGACAAGGAGGCCAAGCGCCGCGCGCGCGAGGAGCAGCTCTTTCGCGAGACGTACCCTGCTCTCTACGCCACCGAGCAGCGCCGCAAGGCCAAGAAAGCGCGCGTCGCGGTGCCGAGCTCCAAGCCGCAGCCCAAGAAGACAGCCGTGGTCCGTCCCACGACTACGACAACCAAGCCTGCTGTCGCTGCCCGCAAGAAGACACCCGCAGCGACACCCGCAGCGACAATGTCAGCATCAGATCGCTTCGAGGCATCTGCCCCGAAGGCGGCAACGCCACTCGAGATCGCCAGCGGCGCACCGGACCATTGACGAGCAACACGCGACCATTGCACGCCTGCAACAAGCCGCTCAACCCGAGACCCGAACGACCCTCGACACGATCAGCATTCCGACTGCACCAGTGCCTACGCCTGTGGCTGATTCAGCCGCCATCCAAGGTGACACCAACGCGCAGAGCTCCGAAACTAAGTCGTCGATGGCGATTTTACAGCAAGCCATTCTTCACCAAGCGCCGACCCTCCACCGTGTTCTTCGGACGAGCAACTTCCTGCACGCGCCGCCGCTGCTCTGGACACCAGATGAGCGTGTTGCAGCGATCGATACGCTGGTCCGCGCCATCACCGCGATCGAGATGGGGCAGCCGATGGCGCCCGAGCCGTACTTGGTCCTCGTACCATGCCCTTCGGGGCGACGGGACGTGGCGCTCGAGTTCGAAGAGACTTTGCTGCGCGGTTTGATGGCCAGAGCTCGCAAGTTGAGCCTATTGTAGCAGTAGAAATAAGTAATTAGCCAATGTACTAAACAAAGAAAATGAACTCTACGACAAAGTACCATCCAGCAGATCCTTGCAGCTGATCGACCGACTCGGTGTGACGTCAAGAGACCACGAATGATTCACAATTCGCCGCGAACGACTGCAAACCAGATCTGACAATGCACGCACTCGTGGTCCAGATCTAGTAGCGCAACTATATCATTTATCTCACTCCCAGAAGGACATCATTTCGAGGTCCACGGCGCTGCGAGAGACGCTACGTCACCGTGCTGATCGCCAAGGGCGTACGCGAAGATGTTGGACAAATATTGTCCATCATAGTTCAAGGAATACAACATAATCGTAGTGCAGGCATGTACATCGTGTTCAACCGTTCACTCGGTGAATTTTGGTGCGTCTCATGGGTGCGTCTAGAGCTTGGCGCGCGAGACGGCGCCGACAGCCTTGGCAAAGGACTTGGCCATCTTCTCGACGGCCCAGTTGGGCATCTCGGCCGTCACGGGCAAGTACACGAGGCTACGCCAACCCGTGAGCTCTTGCCGACGATGTGCGAAACCTACTTTTGCATGATGGCCTTGGCGTTGACCGGGTCAAACGCTGCGTTCGTGGGGCTAATCGCACACAACTTATGAGAACCGGCGATCCGTCATAACACGTCGGCGTACTGCGGCACAAAGGCGAGCTGCGTCGCGCCCGACGTCACATCAAACCCCTATCCGGCACCATGAGCAACTAGATACACGCAACATTGACGTACGTCTTGGATCATGAGGGCGGCGACGCGCTTCGGCTCGGGGCACACAACAGGGAAGAGCCAGTAGTAGTGGTTGCGTGCGAGGTTGCCGGGGACCTACGAGTATGGTTCATATGCCGTGTCTCCATGGATGATAAGCAGGCGCGATGCTTCAGTACGCACCGACGCTTGCGGGACGTCCTTGATGAGGCGCTCGAGGAGCTCACTCTTGGCCCTGCCCGAAGGTTATGCGATATACGGTCTCGTCATTGCCAACGTACTTGCGTTCGAGGACGTAGGCGTGGTCGTACGTCGAGAGCTTGCGGTGGAGGAGCCCGAGGAGCGGCATCGACGGGCGCTGGCGCAGGAGCGTGATGAGGTCGCCGCCGCTAAAGCCGCGGATCTGCGACGTAATGACTTCATCGTGGTTGTCTACAATCACACATGCATGAGAAAAATCGGGAAATTACCTGAAAATCACGCGAAAATCATAGGAAAACAAGGGACAACGTACAGCCGAGTTGGCGACAGGCCTTGAGGAAGAGACCAAAGAGCGGCGGCGACGTCATGCCATGGAGCGCACTGTACTTGACGAGGCGCTGGAGAAAGAACATGCGCGAGCGTGGCTCGTAGCGGTTGTTGCGGCGCTTCATGCCGTCGAGAATGTCGTTGTTGAGGACGCGGAACATGGCGCCGCCAAACGCCGTCGACGTCTTGATCGTGCCAAAGCTGAACATGGACACGTCAGCCTTCGGGTGGCCCTTGTACGACGGGCCGCAGTAGGCTTGCGCGCAGTCCTATGCCCACAAGTTGCGTGGAATGCATGGGATATGGTGTGAGAGACCTCGATCACGAGGAGCTTGTGTGCGTCGGCAAACTCGACGACCGGGTCGAGGTTCGTGAGCGTGCCAAAGATGTGCGCGACCAAGATGGCTTTGGTTTTCTATCGACGGAAAGATGAGACACTCGTTGAGTATTGGCATGTCGTACGTCGGTGACGGCGGCGGCCAGCGTCTCGGTCTGCATCGCAAGCGTCTTGTCGTCCAAGTCGATGGGCACAGCGACGAGGCCGTGGTGGTGAAGGACCTTGATCATGTCGGGAATCGTAATCGACGAGCAAATGATCTCGCTGCCCTTCGGGTAGTTCATTGTCTGCAGAAAGAGGTCAAAGCCAGTGCTACAACATAGCAGCACAATGAGCCAGCATCTCGCGCGATGGCGGCAGCGTACCGCACGGAGAGGCAGACGAGCCCATGGCCCGACGGATCCCAGAGCATCTCGACGTTGTTCGTGAGCGACGCGCGCTGGCTGTCGCGCAGGTAGAAGCAGCTCGAGATGCCCGAGACAATGTCCGCGTACGTAATGTCGAGGCGCTTGCGCGGGAAGATGGCCCACGGAACGCTGCCCGTGTACTCTTCCATCTTGCCTACGCCCATGCCATGAGAGGACCGCTCCGAGCATGCGTCTACCAAAGGGCTTGAGGGCCATGGTGCTCTGCTGCTGCTAGCCGTCGGCGACGTTGCAAAAATGGCGTCGACGTTGCACTGCTTCTTGTATCCGGACGCCGGATACGAGCTACGCGCGCGGTGATTGGTCGAAACCATTGAAATCTTTGGGATTACGAACGCAAATAGTTTCGAAGGGCCGGCCCGCCAGCTGTCGCCCTCGGGTCTAGTAGGATTAGGGCTACTAGCGACTGCGATCTACTCGACTCGATGGTTAACGTTATCAGTACGAGAAAGGCTAGTCCTGAGACGTTGTCAGCGGTGTACAGCAGCAATACCGGGACTAGTGCACGCTGGCTCCGCTCGTCGCTTCACCTGGGCCGGCGGTGTCGCCGTCGCTCTTGGGAAGGCTGCTTCGTCTCCTGTCAAACATAGTGCGTTGTTGCTAGAGACATCCTAATGACACTCAACACCAACATGGCGGCGATGCGTGGTCCCTGCCCTCCGCCCTTTGACGAGCATTTCACTTTGGCGACCGATGATGACGCTGCATCATCGCCGCCTTGCCAGCAAAGGTCTCAACGTCGTCGTCACAAGGGCACCGAGCAGAAGGTCCACGCGGCCACATCAGCGCTATCGCTGGGCCTGGCCCACCACAAGCGGCGCATACGCAAATTCCAACGCGATCCGTGCAGACCTGTTCGCGCGTGTTCCTCACGGAACATTGCCGATGCGGTAGACAGGCGGCAACAACCACACCTCCGTTGCTCGTCCTCAGATCGCTTGCGGTAGTCGTGCTGCCGCGATCAGTGCAGCGACCGGTCGTCCCATCGTCGTTCACGACACCGACTCGGCCACGGTCCGTCGCCGTCGCTACGCTGTCGATGATCTGCAAGACAAGAACAACGATGCTGTGCATACTAGTACGGTTGGCCTTTTAACAGTTAGTACGCTCAAGCAGGCATGACGACACAAAATGATCGGTGCAAGCTTGCTGTACCGGTCCCTTTTACTGGGCCGACGACGGCTCGTAGACCATGTAGCGAAACGTGGTCGTGCCCCATGTACTGAGCGTGCTGGGCGGCGAGGCGCCTTGCGCCCAGTCGTCGAGATGCAACGTCACGCGCGCCCGCTCGGTAAAGCCGTGTTTGGCAAAGAACGGGTTGCCCACTTCGCTTGCGTGCACCCAGATCGGGAGATTGTCTCGAAGACCCCATGCGAGAAGCGCGCTGCCGACGCCCGCGCGTTGATGCGCCGGCGCAATCGTGATTGAAATGAGGATCCGGTGCGGCGACGGCAGCAGCGTCGGCGCAAGCGACCGCTGCCAGTAGCTCATGTGCGCGCTCGTAAACTGCCCGAGACCGTCGGGCGTCTGCGGGTAATCTTGCGACGTTGGCTCGGGAATGGCGCCGTCGATTGATGCAGTGGCCGAGAGGCGCCAGCACACCCAGCCCAGCAGCGACTTGGTCTCGGCATCGACGGCCTTGATGATTGGTGTCGCGTCCGGCGTGCGCAGCCAGTACTGGATCGCTGGCAGCATCTGGTCGTAGTGGTTGTACGCAGGGCTGAGTGACTTGAGCAGCGTCACGGGCTCGTGCGCAAAGGCGGCCGCGTGGACAGCGGCGAGTGCGTCGGCGTCAGCCGCCGTCGCCAGCTCCAGGGTGACAGCCATGCTTTGATTTTGTGACGCCAACCTGGTACCGGTATCCGGAGGCCCGTTATCGGACGATGCGCACCCACGGAATGTTCTCAAGGAATATTCCTCTGTGGACCGACCCGCTCGGTTCTTCAAGCGACCTCGCGTGCAAACCTTATGCGTCCCGATGAGACACATGTCTGGTAACCGGTCGAGGGGCAATCACCTGTCCATGTCGTCGTCGAGCGTGTCGAGTACTGGGATCGTCGCGGGGTTCGTCGACGCGCTTCGTCCGGCCGCGCTGCGGATACCGGAGGCTTGGCCGTCGCCGGGCGCCGCCACCATGGCTGCAGCTAGCTGGGCCGTCTAGTTGCGCGTACGGCGCGGGTGGGTTGCCATCGGTCCTTCCGGGCAACTTGAGTAGCGTGGCTCACAGTCCTGAACCCAATCCCGCCGCCCGCCACGAGCATACAAACTTCAAGTAAAACGTTTCACAGGATGCGAAATGTTTCATATACAAATTTCAAGTCTGAAGATCGCCATGGTCATGTTTATCCGGAAGATCGGCCCGGCACTTGTCGTTTGTATTGCATACAAAACATACGTCCTTTATCCGGATGAAAGCCGCAGGTGCATCCTCGCATTGGCCGACCGAGTGCGGTGGAGCAGCAGAGACAAACCGTTGTCTTCTGCGTCTAGAGATGGTCGCGGGCTGCGATCGCACTAGTATCGCTGCGACGCCTGGCAGTCCCAGTGTGACGGTGGCCGCGTCGCCACGTTCATTTGTTTCCTTTTTTACAATTGAGTGTCGACTGCTTTGAGGGAATCTCCAGCTCAAGTATTTTTATTCCACTCATTTGTTCTTTGTATGGTATTATTTCAAAGGCCACGCACAAGATCGGCGACGCTGCGGCAATAAAAATAAAATAAAATCCAAAACGACGATGGAGCTTGGGAGCCGCGTCCTCGTCGTCGGCGGCAAGACCGGCGTCGTCCGCTTCCTCGGGACGACCGAGTTTGCGCAGGGCGACTGGGTCGGCGTCGAGCTCGATGCGCCCGAAGGCAAGAACGACGGCGAGATCAACGGCGTGCGCTACTTCCAGTGCGAACCCAACTTTGGCCTGTTTGCCAAAAAGTCCCAAGTCCGGCTCGCGCGTGGTGGCTCGACGCCGCCGACGCATGGCACGACGACGTCAACATCATCGTCGGCGACGAGCCGCCTGCTGCAGATGCGCGAGAAGCGGTCATCGACGACGTCGCTCACGCCGCCCGCTGCGCCAGCGCCAGCTAAAAAGACCAGCCCGCGCCTCCCGACCGACCGCCCGCTCACGCGACGCTCGAGCCTCACAGTACCTTCGTCGCCGTCCCGGCGCGCGGCCGCGCCAGCACCGCTCTCACTTCCTCCGTCGCCGACCGAGTCGACGCGCTCGACACGCTCCATTCGGTCGATCGACGAGCACGAAGCCCTTGAGCACGCGCATGACAAGATTGAGAATCTCTTGCACGACCTCGAGCTCAAGAACGAGCGCATTGCCAGTCTCCAAGCCGAGCTCCTCGAAGCGCAAAAGGCGCCGACACCGGCACCCGCAGCCTCGACTTCGGTGCTCGACGCCAGGGCCGAGTACGACGAGAAGGTGCGTGAGCTGCGCGACGAAGGCATTGCACTCGCCGCCAAGATGCGCAAGGACTTTGAAATCAAGGTCACAAAGCTCGAAAAGACGATCGAGGACAAAGAAGCGTCGTTCCAAGCAGCACTCGACAAGCAACTGCACGAGCTGCAAGCCGCAACGTCCGAGCTCGTCGCGCTCCGGAATCGCAACGCGCAGTTTACTGCGTCCGAACAAGCGCGGACGGACGAGGTCGCACAGGCCCAAGCCAAGGCGTCGGCGGCGGCCCGCAAGATCGAGACGCTCAACGCGCAGCTCGCCGACCTCCACGACACGGTCGAGATGCTGACGCTGGAGAAGGAGACGCTCGCAATGGACAAGGAGATTGCGGAAGAGCGGCTCGAAGACGCCGAGATGGAGGTCGAGAAGCTCACGCTGGCTGCCGAGATCGCCGGCGACTCGTCGCACATGCCCTTGGACGTCCATTCGAGCAGCGTTCACGAAGAGAACGCCAAGCTCCGTACAGCAATCAAGGCGCTCCACGACCGATACGCCGATGAGAAGATGGAGCTGACCAAGTCGTTCAAGGAGGCGTCGCGCCAAGCGAACGAGCTCGCGAGCTATCGCGACGAAGTCGAGGTCGTGTCGGCCAAGATGGCCAAGGTGGCGCATGAAAACGACGAGCTCAAGGAGATGCTCGATGTCGCCAGCGCGTACGAGGCCATGGTCGAAGCGCTCACCGAGAAGAACCTGAGTCTTGGCGAGCGTGTCGCCGACCTCGAAGCGTCGGTCGCGTCGCTCGAAGCCCTCAAAGACATGAGCGAAGAGATGGAGCACCAGCACGACTTGCTCGAGAAGGACCTCCGGTCCGAGCTTCTGACGCTGCGCACCAAAGTCACCGAGCTCCACGAGCGCCTCGCGTCCGCCCAAGCCAACGTCGACGACAAAGAACGCACCGTGCATCGGTTCCGCGAACTCGCGCACAGGAACCGCGAAGAAATGTCGGCGCTCCGCGAAAAGCTCCGACTCGAAGCCGGCGAGCTCGAGTCGATGAAGGACACGACGCACGCGGTGCTGAGCCAAACGCTGAGCTTGCGCCAGGCATTGGCCACTGCGCGCGCGAGCACGGTCGAGGCGGCGCGCGCCAAGGTGGCCGCTGAGAGCGCACGGGTCGAAGCAACGTGGTTGCGGTCGCTTCTGCCGTCGTCCGTCTTTACCGAGGCGGACGACCGGTCGCTCAAGGTCCGACTGCTGCTCTCGCGCCTCCACGGCAACGTCGACGTCGTGCTCAACCATGTGCTCAAGAACGTCTCGTCGCTCACGTCCGACGTCCTCGGGAATCCGCTCGAGAAGGCTCGGTTGGCGTACGAGTGGGCGCTGGGCGTGCGCTTGTTGCACGTCCGCTTGGCCATTGCCCACGCGCAGCAGTCGCTGCACACCGCCGGCGACACGGCGTTTCAGGCGCTTCTTGTGCAGCTCGACGGGCCATCGACGCACCAACTCGACGTGGCGCTCGACGGTGTCCTTGTCTCGCTCGGTGTCGACGGTGGCTTGAGTGGCGGCAGTGACGCGCAGCCGTCGTCGTCGGACCGTCTCTTGTCGGTGGCGGCCGAGTGGAGTGCACTCTTCCCGCTCACGCAGGTGACGCAAGCGTCGCTCATCAAGCTCCAAGCGCAGGCCCACGCCTCGATCCTCTCGCTGCACTGCGCGATTGCGTTTTTGCATGACGACCTTCCGCTCGAGCTCCGGGGCGCCGTGTGGAACCTTGCGCTTCAAGTCGCGCGGCGCGCCGAGCTGGACCTCGGCGGCGACGCATCGAGTGGCGACGACGACGACGCGGGCGAACACCAGCATGTGCTGGCGACGGTTGTCGGCGGCGACGTCCTGGGTCATTTGCAGGCGTACGCACTCGAGAGCGGGGAGCTAACGACCGAGACACAGCTGCAGTCGTTCAAGGAGCGACTCTCGGTGCTGTACAAGGCCGTGGCCAAAGGCGCGCTCACGGATGCGTGCGTATTGGTGCCAAGCCCCGTGCCGCCGGCGCGCCGCCAGCCGACGTGGGAACTCCGCGCCGAGATGGTGCGGACCGAGCTCGCGAGCGCGTCGACGCTCCTGACGTCGCTGGAGGAGACGACCGACGTCTGCCATACGCTGCAGGCGCGTCTCAAAGAACTCGAGAAGACCGAGAGCCAATCGCGCGTCATTGTGCAAAAGCTCGAACACGACGTGACGCGCCTCAGTGACGCAGTCGCGAATGAAACGAGTGTGACGAGCAAGCTCCAGTCGCAGCTGACCCACGAACGCGCCCAGTTTGAGCAAATGTTGTCCGAGCAAAACAAGGAGCGTGCGGCGCTCGAGAGCGCGCACCGCCAGCTCCGCAAGCAGCTGCGGCGCAACAGCGACCTTCCGTCGACGCCGACCACGACCAAAGAGGCGACGTCGACAGCAGCCTCGTCGTCGTCGACCGTCTCGTCCAGTCAGGTCCGGGCGCTCGAAGCCGCCTTGGCCGAGATGCACGTCTCAATGCAGCGGCTGCGACAAGAGACCGCTCTGGAACGCCTCCAGGCCGCCATCGCGCCGCTGCCGCCCGTGCGCCTGCCCTCCAAGCTCGCCGCCTGCGCCGAGAATGTTCGCCGCGTCGAGAGCCAAGTGCTCGCAATGGCGTCGCTCCCGTCCTTGTACGTGGTCGGAGGCGCGACCGCCATGACGTCGCCGGCGACGTCATCGATCGTGCCGCTCGCCAAGACGATCGAGACGCTGCGCGCCGAAATTGCGTCGACAGCCGCCACCGAAGGCTTTGGCGCCGACGTGATTGCGGCGGTCCACGCCAACGAAGTCGCATTCTCTGGCCGCAGCGTCGACAGCGTCCACATATCCGCGATCGATGTGCCGGCGCGCGTCGGCCGCCTGACGTTCCCAGGTCCGCATGGCAAGTGCAATCCCGTCAAGGTCGTCCTCTCGTCGTCCGAACTCCACACGCTCTCGAGAGCCCTCTTGTGCTAAGGCCGCTTCTCCGTCGTCCTTCCACTTACATTCATATATATATATATATATACGCTTCTGGTAATAGCGACAAGTTGTCCTTCTTGGGTGGCATGCGTGCTGGTGGCGGTCCTCAGATGTTGACTACAGAGTGGCCGTTGACGCCGGTCAACCTGCGCAGCCATGGCCGAGGGCCTCACAGATGCGTGCGCCACAGTCAACTTGGACTGCCGTCCAGGTCGTCGCTGGTAGAGTCCTCTTTTGAGCCAGAGACGGGCGAATCGAGTGGGTACGAGGTATATATTCACGTCTTTTCGCCTACTAGTAGTTAATCCAAATCCATCTTGTCGCCTTCGGCGTTGTCGTCGGCGGCCGACGGGGCCGGCGGCGCCTCGACCTTGGGGAGCGGCTTGGGCTTGGTGATGATCGGGAGCCCCGACGCGCGGAGCTCGACAATCTTGGCGCGGATGGCCGCGGCCGTGACGACCGGCGCCACCGTGAGGCTCGCGGCGGCCTGCGCGTTGAGCTGGTCAAAGAGCCACGTCTCGATGGTCGTGGCCGCGTTGCGGAGCGTGTTGCAGTCCTCGTCCGACCAGTGCGAGTAGGCCTCGTCCGTCGAGTTGGCGAGGCGCTTGTACTCGTCAATGACGGCCTTGAGCTCGTTGGTCGCGACCGGGCGCTCCGAGTGCTCGACGTAGCGGGCATCGATGGGGCTGCAGATGGCGCGGAGGCCGTCGAGCTTGGTCTGGTAGATCGACTTGATCGAGTCAAAGCCCTCGTCCGAGTAGAGCCAGTCCTCCATGTCGTTGAGCTGGTTCTCGATGTCGTCGCGCTCGGGCGCCGCGACAAACTCGGCGTACTTCTCGCCGAGGTGGTTGCGGAGGTCGTACACAAACGTCTCGAGCTCGTTGCGCTTGTTTGCCGTCTCCTCAATGATGCGGTCCTGCTGGGCCATCGCGAGCTCTTCCTCCGTCGCCTTGGCGACTTCGGCGACCGTGAGGCCGTTCACGGACGGCGTCACCTTGAGCTCAATCTTGCGGAAGCGCTTCTTCTTGGGCTCTTCCTTCTTCTCCTCCGAGGCTTCCTCGCCTTCCTTGGGCTCCTCTTCCTTGATCTCGACCATCATCTGGCTCGAGGCCACCTCGACGAGGCCGTGGATGTCGTGCTTGATGTTGACACGGATGCGCGGGACCTCGTCCGTCTCGCCGGCCGGGATGCCCGAGACCGTGAACTTGCCGATCGAATGGTACGGCGACGGCGGCAGGTACTCGGTGGCCGTCTCGTCGTACGCAGCGTCAATCGTAAACGTCTCGGCACGGCGGAAGCTCACGCGCTTCGTCTTGGGGAAGTCATCGGCGCGCGTAAAGAGGAGCACCGAGTTGGCGTCGCCGGCACCGAGCGACGGCTCGTCATCGTCGCCGATCGAGTCGTCCTTGAGCGCGTCCGACGACGCCTTCTCCCACGAGACACGGACGGGGAAGTTGACAATGTCGGCGATCGAGAAGTCCTTGACCTTGAAGAGCGGCGAGAGGATCGCGCACTGGAGCGCGCAGCCGCGGGCGACCGCTTCGTCGGCGTTGAGCGTCGTCGAGAGGCCCAAGTTGGGCTTCTCCTTGTCGAGGCCGAGGATGTCGGCGAGCTTGCGCTTGACCGACGCGACGCGCACGCCGCCGCCGACAATCTCGACGCACGAGAGCTGGTCCTTGGTGATCCCGGCGTCAGCGAGCGCCTTGACGATCGGGCCCTCGAGGCGGTCGAGGAGCGGCGCAATGAGCGTCTCGAACTCCTCCAAGTCGATCTTGGCGTTGTAGTCGATCTCGTCGACGAGGCACTCGACCGCGAGCGTGGTCGAGTTGACGCCCTGCGGCGAGAGGTTCTTCTTGGCCTTCTCGCACGCGCCGAGGAGCTTGATGCGCGACTTGGCGTCGGCGAGCGGGTCCTTCTTGTACTTGGCGACAAACTTCTCCGAGACGTCCTTGGCGAGCGCCATGTCAAAGTTGCGGCCACCGAGGAAGCGGTCGTACGCGACCGACTTGACCTGGAGCTTGCCCTGGACAAACGCGACAACCGACACCGTGTACCCCGAGTGACCAATGTCGATAAACATGACGTGCTCGGGCTCCGACTCGTGGAAGAGGTTGCGGAGCGACTTGTAGATACCGTACGAGAGCGCGACGGCCGTGTGTTCGTTCATGAGGCGGAGGCAGTTCATGCCGGCAATCTTGGACGCCGAGAGCATCGCACGGCGCTGCATGTCGGTAAAGTAGCCCGGGCACGAGATGACGCAGTACGCGGGGTTGACGCCCTCGTTGGCGACAGCCGCGATCGCCTGCATCTTGTTGAGGAACATACCGACGACCTGCTCGCACGAAAACGTCGTCGGCGTGTCGTTGTAGTTGAGCACAATGCCCACTTGGCCGTTCGGGAGCTCGACGCACTTGAAGCCGTAGAGCGCAATCTCTTCCTGCACATCGGCGGCAGCAAACTTGCGGCCAATGAGGCGCTTGACGTCCGTGGCCGTGTTCTTGTACTGCGTGCGCGCCATGCTCACGGCGCCCTCGCCAATGTAGCGCTGCTTGCCCGAGACGCAGACCATGCACCTAGAACCATCATGAGGTCATCCGATCATATAGGATGGTTCTCGTACGGGTTCTTGCGGTTCGAGTTCTCGTTGAGGATGATGTCAATGCCACCGCGCTTGGCCTGGCCAATGACGCATTCGACGTTGCCGTAGTCAATCCCGATGACCGACATCTTCGCTCTACTTCAAATGCCAAAATGATGCATCGCCCACCACTGTTAGTCGCTGGATCTTTTCCACCAATGGCCTTGCGCGAATCCAAACACACGCGTTTCATTGGCCATAATAGGGCACTTCCAGAAGCTTCCAATCGCGACCGGTGCATGCAGTCTCACAGGATATCAAATCTGGAGCGGCGACCGTCTCTGAAACTTCGAGAATCCATCGGATCGCAGGTGGCTTTTCCCGAAATATCGCGTTTCACAGGTTTTCCAAAACGAAGTCAAATGCGACGCTGCGCTCGGATTGGTCGACCACCTCTGGATTTTGGCTGCACCGGCATCTGGCTCACCCGCTGGAGCGTGCAAATGAAATAAATGCATACAAATATTACGGTATTAAATAAAATAGAAATGCGGGAGCGTGTACTGTGCAGCCTGTGATACGACGGCGCACCAGATTCCAGATCTTATTTGCGATCTTCTAGAGCGCCCAGAATGAATAGCGCTTCAGACGTGTGGGTGCAACGCCGAGATCGACACCGTTCGGTAGCGTAGGATGGGCGCGGAAGAGGACTGACGCCAGCCAAAAAGATCAAGCGCGACCGCGACATGCTGCACCCGTCACCTGCGTCTCGCCTTGAAGTTGGCAAGGATTCCGTGGCGAGCTTCTGGAAAGCGCGCTCAGCATACTACATGCTCGACTCGAACCCAACACGCAACTAGACAATACAAGCACGATATCGACAGCGTTGACAGAGGTTAAAGCTCGGTCTTTTGCTTTTTGGCGGCCGGCGACTCGTCCGGCGTCGGCGCCTCGCCGAGCTTGGTCAGCGTCGCGTTGCCGTCCTTGCGCACCCAGCCGGCGTGCACAAAGAACTCGTAAATCTGGCCTGTCTTGGTCGCATCTACGCATCACACCTCGTGAGCCTCGACGCCTCGAGACCTCCTTGGCGGTACCGATTTGAATCATGTTGGCGGCAGTGCTGGCATCCAGATGACCGAGACGGTAGCTCTCTCGCACGAGGACGTCCTTGATGACAAGGTACTGCTTGGGCAACAGCTGGAGACGCGCACAGAGCTCCTTCTCCTTGGGCGTCAAAAGGTGCGCGCCGGGTGCACCGTCAATGATGCCACTCGCGCTCTCGCCGTCCTGCTCGCGCGAGAGCCACCGACTGTTGCGCTGCCGGTTGGCGGTCGGGCCGCGCGACGAGTCGTAGAGGTACGCAGCACTACGTTGGTCATGGCACGCCAGGACGACAACTGGGCACGGTACCTTTCCCGCGATTTTTGCAGCGCTTGCTCGGTCTCGCGCTTCTTCTTGTCAAGCTCGTACATTTCGGCTTCGGCGAGAGTTCGAATCCCGCGCTTGCGGTACTCTTGGAGCAGTGCGATTTGCTTGCGAAGGCGCATCGCGGCGAGGAGACCCGACACGAACGTCTCGTGGTCCTCCTTGGAGTGGAACCGAGCGAACGGCCGGACTTGGGCGATGAGCTCGCGCTCTTCCTTGGGGCGGCGGCGCTCGACCTAGCAGAGTCAGGATCGGTAGAAAGCACATTGGCCCAGGATCGCGACGGTACTTGCTGGTACTTTTTGTAGTCGAGGAGGCCGTGCGCGATGACAAACTTCTTGCGGCGCTCGCGTTCGTCGAGCTTGGCGTTGTAGATCGCAATGACCTTGAGCTTGAGCTCGCGCTCGGTCGGGTGGTCGTCGTCGTGAAACTCCATGTCGGCCAAGATGAGCTCGGCGTCGTTCTCGTGCTCGACGTCAAAGTCACCGCGAAGCGGCATGTAGCCGGCGAGGGCGCCGCCCATCTCTTCCTTATCGTCGTCGGCGACCGCAGCAACGGGTGGCTTGGCCTTGGCCGGCGATGGCTCGTCACCGGTGTGGCGCAGCTTGAGGTACTCGGTCACGTAGTGCGCTTCGCACTTCTTGTCCGACTTGGACGCCACGTGCTCGGCAATGTCCTTCCAGTTGCCCATGCCAAACATCTCGATGCCCTCGAGCAATAGCAGCTCTTCGTCGGCGGTCCACTCGGGCTCCAAGATCGAGTACGCCAAGCAGTCGGAGACGCGGTACGGATGGTCCTTCCGGTGCTCTGGCGCGCCGGGCACGTCTTCGACGCCGACCGAGAAGCACTCGATGCAGAGCACGAGCGGGCCCTTTTCGGGCGCGCACTCGGCGCACGTGATGCGGATGAGGCGCGTGAGGTCGCGCGTACAGTACTGGCAGCTCACCTGCGCTCCTCATCATGAGCCCAGGATGGTCATGGTGATTCTGCTCTACCTTTTCCTTGGATTCGCCCATGGATCTGCTTGGGGATCGACCTACATGGTGCCGGTCCATGAGCCGCGCCCGGCAACGGCCGCGTACCTTGGTCTTGGCCGACGAACAAGAACACCGGTTCCGCGAAACCTGAATATAACCAATCAAAGCGCGTCGCGAATGTAAATGGCACCTTTTCATCCAATCCGCACAGCGGCAATCTCTTATTTTAAGCCAATCAAAGGGCGTGTTTCAGCGCATCCTCAACCAGTTGATTGCCCATTCGGTTCGCATCGGGACATGACAGCCATCGACGATGCCGGTACGCTCAGCGACCTCACATTCGCCGAGAGAACCTTGCGGCGACCTTGCTGATGCGTACATAGAAGTTGAGGAACATGGTCGTTGCCTTGCATCATCCAGTGTACATTCGGCAATTAACTGGGGTACTTGCGTTTTATTGGATAAAAGTGAGCTTCAAAGGGCCAATCCACGACGCCCACCATGTACTTCCGCCACCAAGTCCGGCGGCTTGCGACCAAGGAGGCGGTGTACCTGCACCTCTCGCCCTGCGGCGACTGGTGGCTCGGCAGCAGCATGTACGCAGCGAAGCACCTCTCGAGCGACTACGTCAAGTCGCTCCGCCTGCCGGACGCCGACGTCGAGGCTGTCCTACAGCAGCTGCCCGACGACGCCTTTCGCCGCATGTACGACGATGGCACGCTGGACCCGCGCCTTCTGCCCACGGCGCCGGTGACACCGTAGAGCTCTCGTCACCGCTGCATGCAAGCGGCAGGCTGTCTCGCCATCGCCATCATCTATTGTGCTTCAATGCAGTGGCTTTGCGTCTTTGGACATTGCGACAACTGCTGCGTGGTACGCTCACGCCACAGCGTTGACGTGCTTTGACATGGCCGAAACGACGCACTGTAGCTATCGTCGTCGCACGGGCGCCACGTTGTCGGCGTGTCATTCATTGTATCAGGAGCAAGCCCATCACCATCTCCTCCATGCATGCAACAGCGCCAGCATCCCCACTGGGTGGGCATTTCGCGTCTAATTGCCAATTCGGCCAATGTAAGTCAAGAGTACAAGCACTCGATTGCGTCTACGGCCTCTGGATCCAAGTACACAGCTCCCTTCTGCGCGGCCCAGTACATTCAAATCTCACATTCCTGGCAAGATTATCTTGTATTGAGCTAGGAATCTGAGTCTCTGCTTGCGGTTCGGGGTTCTCTACTCCAACGACAGTTGAGCGCTTACAACGCCACGCCTCTTTAAAGTCTATACATTTACGGCCTTGAAAACACTGACGGATCGAGGCCGGCTCGAAGTCACTTCGAATACAACCTGCTCAACCAGATACGACTACCAGTTGCACATTTGGCACCTGAACGGTGTACGAACACGTCCACGGCCCACGTCGTCGGTACGAACACGAGTCGATAAACTCAAAGGTCAAGTTCTCGACTCCCTCCAGTGCAGCGTGCTCTCCGGAACATACAAGTATCGTAGAACGCGCAATATTCACTTTTATGCAACTCCTATCTGCGCAAATGCCACTGCAGTTGAGCTCGGCTATTCGCCGGGGCAACCTCCCGACAGAATCGCGTCGTTCGTAACCTTGGCTTGGGCGCTCGCGAGGCTCTGCACCGCCATCTACACCCACGATGCACCTCGTCCTGTAAAACGAACTGGGTGGGTACCGTGTATTTCGGATTTTTCGCAATGTCGTACGACTTGACGGGCGCCGCAAAGGCCTCCCACGTCCGCATGCGCGCTGCCGTTTGCGGCCAGCGCCGCGTGAGCACGCCATTTTCGTCCACGACAAAGCCTTTGGCGACGTCGCAGGCGTAGCTCATGCCCACGTGGCGTTCAAAGAGCGCGGAGAACGGCGGGAACGGCGAGGTATCGTCCGCCAATGCTGCCGTTGGGTGCACGCTCGCACGCACACAGAGTCGCTTGACGCAGCGTTGAAGACAGCTTAAGAACGGCCGCAACAAGGGCGTGAGCAATGGCCAGAGCGTGCTCGAGAGCAGCATCCACAGCGTCACGAGTAGCAGTAGGAAAAAGACGGGAAACGTATCGAGGCGCATGATTTTCAAAAACGCCTTGAGCAAGTAGCGGTAGAGAGTTTGAACCAGCGGCGTGGCCGACGCCATCTCTGCCTCCAACGTCATTTGAACAAATGCCGTCGGGTCAGCCTCGAGCAGCGTACTGTTGCCGCCATTCACCGACGATGCAAGGGCATTGACGACCACGTTGACCGAGAGCAAGTCGGAGGCCAAAATGGACGAGTTGCCAAACATCCACGTGGAAAACCCGAGGTGGAGGAAGAGGACCCAGGGCAACAGCTGCATCGCGAGCGACCCGAGCGCCTCGTCGAACGCCGTGCGAACGCTGCAGAGCTTCATGATGGTGAGCTTATCGAGAAAATACGTCAGCGAGAGCGCGATCGCGCCCACGGGCAAGAGCACTGGAAGCCCCCCGGCGTACATGAGCGTCACAAAGAGCGTGTTGAGCACGACGGGATACCGCAGCGCAATGTTAAAGCTCGGGTTGGCATACAGCGCATTCATCTGCGCCTGCGTGACCGCGTACCGTCCGTGGAAGCAGCGTGAGAGCGGGTACGTCACATACAGATTCAGGAGCGGTCCGATCTGCGGCGCCAGCGCATTCACGAGCATCGTCATCGTCAAGCCGGCGCCGACGCTTGTGTACCAATCGCGCTCAAAGTCCATGTACTGCCCGCTCAGTAAGGTGCTCACGAGCGGCACGTTCCCAAGACTTGCGTTGACGATGAGGACGATGACCGCCGTGTTGATCCACTGAGCAAAGAAGAGCTTGAGGACGACCGCCGCCGCCTTGTGCGACTCGGACGAGTGCCGCTCGAAGGACGCAAAGGCATAGAAAATGCCTTGGAGCCCCACGTTGACCACAATCACGGTCAGGGCAGCGGCGATGAGGAGACTCGTCTTGGTCAAATACGCTGTGATATAGCTCTGACACGGAAGCTCGTTTGTCCAGAGCTGGCGCGGGCCGTTGAGGACGCCGTCGGTGTGGATGGCAGCCTCGAGGAGCGGCATGCAGTAGCAGGTGAGGATGCTATCGGGCACGTAGGCTTCGCATTTGCTCGAGACGTTGGTCGACGTTCTTAAGGTGTCGGTCGTAAAGCATGGCAGCGTGCCGCAACTAGCGGTTGCGGCGACCGAGACGTTGAAGCACGGGGCGATGCACCGAGTGAGGTTCTGCAGTGGGCGCACGTCGTTGTAGTTGAGAAACGGCGGCAAGAGCAAGGTCGGGGCCGAGACGTTGGCGTATGTGATCGCAAACGACGCATCGCTGCCACATGAAATCGAGTCGTTCCAGACCAGCGTCCGCACGCTCCGGTCATTTGACGTCGCTGGACCGTCGTAGACCCGCTGGATCTTCTCGCACAAATTGGCCAACACAGGCACGTTGAACTTGCGCTGACTGCTGTTCGCAAGCGAAATGACGCCGCACGACAGCAAGAGGAGCAAGAATGTCAACACGTTGGTCAGCGAGCGCCTGCGACATTGGCGGTTAGGGGTCCAGTCGGTGGTATGCAATGAGTACCGAATGAAGCGGGAGGACGCTGACGTCTCGAGGTTTTCCCAAATGATGTTGGACGGCTCGGGCGCGGGCTCGACGACGATGGCAAATTGGCCGCGAAAACGCAGTGCTTTCGGCTGCCAAAACCGCTTCCATGACGAGGTGCTCGTCCGGTAGTCGCGCAAACAGCGCCGGCGGCTCTCAGTGTTTTCAAACACAATGTAGGCGCACTCGCACTCCTCGAGTCTATGACGGGTTGGGCGATGCAGGATAGAGATGACGTCGTACCGCTGCAGTCCCGTGGTCTTGAGTGACGTCATCTTGTCGACGATCTTCTCCATCTTTGTCTGCAGCCGCGTCTGGGTAGCTTCGGCGACGACGAGCTTCTTGGCATACCGCGTCTAGCCAGCAATGGGCCTTCTCTTCCATTATATCGCGCGTACCGGCATCTTGCGATAGGCAGTTAGGACGTCGTCGAGCGCCGCAAGCTGCGTCGTGAGCCGCTCCAGCGACAAAAAATGGCGAAGAAGCCCCCCGGTGGGGTGGGCGATGGTCACTTGGGCGACCCATTTCCCCAAGTAGGTTGCGTCGCCATCGACGTGGTCGACATTCGAAACGGCGCTTGCAGTCGCGGGGACCTACAACGCTGCTTCGACTCCCTCTTAATCTCACTGTACTCTACGAGGGTTGGACGGCGGGGCGGGCGACGGCGCCCAAAGCATCCGAGCCAGAGCGGGTAGTGCATCTCCGGCAACGTGAGCGCATAGCGCGAATCGAAATGCTCGAGGAGCTCGGCCTTAGTCGCGTCGCGCGGGAGGCCCTTGACGCGCACCGCGTACTTGGCCGGCGTACTGTTTTGCACGGCGTCGAGACGCACGGCACGGCGCGAGAGGTACCCAAAGAGCCCAATGAAGAGCCAAAACACGATCGAGTAGGCGACGTCGCAGCCCGCAATGATGTACGATCTACTCGATACAACGTTCCATCGATCCACGACAAAATTGGGACGTACGCGATTTTGGGGTCGGGCGTCAGCGGCGTGTCGATGGTGTCGCCAGAGCAGTCGATGCGCCCGCCGTTCGCACTGCACAGCGACGCATCGATGCCCGGGTTGACGCCTTCGTTTGCAATGGAAATGTACGTGAGCTTGAGCGGGTCGGCGTTCGCGGCAAGGACACCGTGTCCATAGTAGTGCAACACTAGAGAACTTAGGAGTGACAATGTTGAGCCAGGATATACCCGCGCTGGGGACAGCAAAGACCGAGAGGACGCCAAGGGCGATCGCGCCGTACTTGATGAGCATAAAGTAGAGCTGGATACCAATCCCGAGCTCGCCAATGTCCCGCAACGTCGTCTTGCGAAAGGCCTTGCCAGCACCAAGCCGCTCGGCGAGCGCGAGGGCCTTGGCGGCTTGGGTCATGGCCGACCGTGACGGGCCCGTGTCGCAGGGCTCCCGCGCCTCGGCCGCCTTGACTGGCACCACCTTGTTCATGCAGCAAGTCGAATGTAAACTGCGAGTGGTTATCGGTTGTATTAAGGTTATCCTGCTCAAAATAGACAGGCAGGCTCTCACGGTGGCGTCGATGACGAAACCCGCTCAAAGGTCGCGAGGACGTCGTCTAATGAGGCTTGCGTCCGACGCAGCTGCTCGATGGTGGCGGTCGCATGCGACCGCTTCTGCTGCAGGCGTCGTCGCCGGGCAATGGCCGCGTCCAGTGCAGTTTGAAGCTGCCTACAATGCGTCGTTCGCTACAAGGGGACATAGTATTACGTACGCTGTCTGGACTGCGATCGTTTCGCAACAGTAGTTGGCATACTGGGCAGCGAGCTGCAGCAGAAGCATCGCCGGGTACAGCTCGCCGTCTGGAGGAAACACACATCCGTTGGAGGTACTAGCAGCAACGCGCTCACCTTCGTTGCAGTCGCCGTACAAGACAGTGGCGAGGCAGGCCTCGAGCGCGGTCGTGTCCACCTACACATAGGCGGTGGCTAAGACGTGATGGAGCAAGCCGAACTACATGATGGACGATCGCGCCGAGATGAAGATGCTGCAGTGCACGCCAGTCGATGCGATGGCTCGGCGCTTCAAAGCGAAAGTCCATCGTGCGTGGTGGCGCTGCTGTTGTCTTGCACGCGACTGAGATGTGCAGTGCCATGTTGGACGCTGGAAACGTCCACCATTCCGGGTCTGCCGACGCCGACGCCGAACGCTGGACGGCAGCGACAAACGTGTCGTAGGCTTTGGCGCAGTCCCACACCTCGATCGAGACGACCGGCGCCGCATCGTCGTGTGGCCATGCGAGCTACTTGTCGATGAACCCTCGATGTGATGGGATGGCGTACATTTGTACCTCTAAGCGAAGCGGCTGCGTCGGGACCCACAGCGCGTCTGTTGGCGCAGGCGGCGGCGGTGGCACATCCGCTCCGGGTGCAGCGTTAGCAAGGAGCGCGAGGCGCAGGCGGCAGTCGCTCGGCAGGTGGCGCCCGGCGTGAACCACGACGACGACCGTCGACATGTGCTTGATCACGGTCTTCTCCGCGGAAAGATTTTTTAACATTTGTTATTTACGCGCAAAGATACCAAACACTGTATTGTACAGAATTTGGCCGGAAACAGTGTAGCTCGGTTAGCCCCACATCCAGGCAGGCAGACTCTCGCCACATCGTCGAGGGCATCGACAAAGTTGCAGCGCGATCTCACGCTCCAGGGCATCATCGCCGACAAGGAGCTGTACGAGTGCTGCCACACGAGCAAATGTATTGTGATCGGCGTCTGATGCCTCAGCTCGGACCAAGGCAACCTCGGCACTTTCGTCGTCACCAACATACGCCAACTTTGCGGGAAACTCCAACGCGAGCTTGCAGATTGAGTCGGCTCGCATCTGCAACTCAACGTTGGGCTTGTGATTGAGATGTCGCCCGGCTCCTGCGGCTACGTCCTCACCTTTCGTGTTCATCCGGACAAGAAGTTGCGGGAGCTCTTCGAGGAAGCCAATGGCCTTGACGCCGTCTTCTCTGTCAAAAGTCCAAACTACGGCGTCGCTCGACTTGCTCAAGCAGCCGCGCAAGGTCGACGACGTCGAGATTGTTCAGGAAGAGTCGAGCTCCACTGATGCATTTGCAGCCTACTACGTGGCCGCCAACAAGAACAAGGACCGCCCACCCGCCTTTGGCAAGGACATTGCCCTTGCGGTCGAGAGCTTGCCGACCTGGTAAAAATGGCAGTATGCGACTATTTATGGCTTTCACCACAAATAATTGTGTCGTGGCACGCTGCTCCTGCTGTAGACTTTAGTCGGCTATGCAACGTAGCGTCCCGTGCTCTCTGACATCTCTTCTATCACTGGACCAAGTCTTGGCGATTTCGTTTTCGACGAGGTTCCGACGATCGCACGAGTGTCGGCGCGGTCGCATGGCGTCTCCTGTGACACGATTGGCCAATACGTTCAATAAAGTGGCCAATTAGAGACGCAACAGGAGCTTATTGAGCTTGGTGCGAGCACTTGATTGTTCACGCTGCGCACCGCGGTACCATGCACACTGCAATGCGAGAGGGCACTCGCCACGAATACAGTATATAGATAGAAAAATAGACATGATGTACTAGGATGGTGCTATACCTAATCGCTGCTTACGCCTTCTCGAGCTCTCGAAAATGTTGAAGAGCGGTTCTACGTGGCCAGTGTCGATCGCGTCCTGGAGCGTCACAGGTCGATGCAGATCACAGAGGACACGAACACAGAGAAATCTCGCGCTGCGGGTCCATTGCCAGTGGCGGCAACGACGACACTCGTATACCTAGCCCTTTGGATAGGACGCAGTCGTCAAGCGACTCTATGATGACCTCCTGTCACGGCTGGGATCCGCGATCCAGCGCGTGTGTTCTCTTCTCCATGACAACTTGCAGTTCAAGATGAAGTTCAAGTTGCTAAGCCTCTACGAGCGGGTTTAGGTTTAGCTTTGTAAATGGTCGATCGAATTCAGTTTTCATTTTGCCTCCAAGCTCAAGTGTCCAACACCTCCTGGGCCAAGCAGAGTCTCTGGTTGCGTCTCATTACGGAAGATCACCAGTATATTCGACGACACGCGAGCCGACAAGATGGAATCAACGCTCAAGTTTGTCGACTTATCGTATTTTGTCGATTGTCGTCTCTACCACTGCACAACGTTCGTGCGTTGGCAGCCGTGCGCGAGGAGCGTCGCAACCATCTCGGCGCGCGGCACCGTCAGCTCTTCCTTGGTCGCGAGCACCTTGACGTTGACGCAGTCGGTCTTGAGCTCGTCTTCGCCAAGCACGACCATGTACGGGATGCCGGCCTCGAGCGCATACTGGAGCTGCTTGACAAACTTGGGGTTCTCGCTCGGGAGGATCTCGGCCGCAATGTTGTTCTGCCACAGGTCCTTGCACACGCCGAGGCGCGTCAAGAGCAAATCCTTGGACGTTTGCGCGACGAGCACCTGCGCCGGCGCCTTGGCCGCCGCGTTCGTCTCTTCGGCGTGCTTCTGGAGCATGCCAAAGATGCGCTCAATGCCCATGCTCACACCGACGCACGGGATCTGCGCGTTCGTCGCGGAAAACATCCCGACAAGGTTGTCGTAGCGACCACCGGCGGCAATCGAGCCAACTTGGCCGGCGTTCGAGCCCGTGAGCACAAACTCGTAGATGAGACCCGTGTAGTAGTCGAGGCCGCGCGCGAGCGAGAGGTCGAACGACACGTAGTCCAAGACGCCCATCGCATCGAGGTAGTCAAAGAGCAGAGCGAGCTCTTTCATGGCCTCGGCGGCCGGCGCGTTCGTGCCAAAGCGCTGCTCTTGCACGAGCTTGGCGTGCATCGCCCGGGGCGACCCGACTTGGGTCACGAAGCCCTGGATGCGGTCGGCGACCTCGGGCGCCACGTCCTTTTCGTCGACCATTTCAGCGCGGACCGTCTCCCATGACTCCTTGTCGAGCTTGTCGATCGCCGAACACGTGGTGCGGATCTTGTCTTCGGGCACGCCGCAGATCGAGAGGATCGCGTCGAGGAGCTTGCGGTGGCTGAGCTTGATCTTGAACGACCCGAGCTGCGGAAACTCCTTGAGCACCTCAATGCCGATCGAAATGACTTCGGCGTCCGCGAGCATGAGCGGGTACGTGCCGGCAATGTCAAAGTCGCACTGGTAAAACTCACGGAACCGGCCGCGGGCCATCTGCGGGTTGTCGCGGCGGTACACGCGCGCAATGGCATACCGCTTGATGTTGCCCGGGTTGTGGAGCGCCATGAAGCGCGCGAACGGCACGGTCAGATCGTAGCGCAGCGCGAGGAGCTCGCCGCCTTGGTCGGCAAGGTCATAGATGAGCTTCGAGTCTTCGCCGTACTTGCCCGTGAGCGTTTCCTTGAGCTCAAACACTGGCGTCTCAATCTCGACACCGGCGTGGCGCTTGAAGACGGCGCGGATCTTGTGGAAGATCTCTTCACGCAACTGCATCTGGTGCGGCAAAAAGTCCTGCGCGCCCTTGGCCACCTTGGGCTTGCGGCGCTGGCTGCCGTTCATGGCGCCGAGCCGCGCAAACATCTCTTCCAAGAAGAAGTGCAAGCTCGTGGGGCGAAAGTCAAACGGCGTCAGAGTCGCATTTTCGCCCAAGAACGCACGGAGCTCGGTCGTGCCGGCGCCCCAGAGCAGCTCGTCCTTGGCTGCCTTCTTGGACTGCTTCTCCTTGGCCTTCTCGGCCTTGAGGCGGCGCTTCTCGAGCACCTTGTTGCGCTGCGCCTCGGGCATGGCCGCGATCTTGGCGTCTTCCTTGGCCTCGGCCTCGGCGAGCGCCTGCATGGCTGCGGCGCTGAGCGTCGGGCCCTTGGCCTTGGCGCTGCTCTTGGCGGCGTCGGCGTCCGCAATGGCTTGCAGCGCGACCTTGAGCTCGTGCTCGAGAACGCCGATGGTGCTTTGGAGAAACTCGAAGGTGGAGAGAAGCGAGCGGTCCTTGAAGTCGGCCGGGGCGATCGCCGTGTGCATGAGCAGCGAGAGGCGGTCCGTGGCGCCCTGGGCGAGCGACTGGAGCGCGACTTGCGCCATCGAGAGTGACGTCTTGAGCAGCTCGGGGTGGAACGCGCCAAGCCCGTCGCGGTCGGTCGAGTACAAGTTGGCGTCGACCGAGTTGAGCTCGACCTCGATGGCCTTGGCGGCCTGGGCGATCGTATCGCGGGCCGGGCCGTGGTACTGCGGAATGCAGCGGATTGCATCCGGGTCCTGGCTCTCGGTCGCCGCGTTCGTGGCCTTGGAGCCATCGAGCATGACGCGCAAATGCGTCGCCGACGTGATGATGCCGCGGTGCGGGCGGTTCGCATCGAGGAACTCGACGTTGAAGGGCGCGGTCTGCGCGTGGCGCACTTCGCACGTCAGAGCAGCGACGGCGTCGGCCATCGGGAGCAGGCCTTTCGCGCCGGCCACGGTCGCGGCGACGATCGCTTCGAGCGTCGCGTTGCCTTGAGCAAAGGTCGCGGTTTCGATCGGCGCCAGCGACGCAGGAAAGCTCGCGACGACATCCGAGATGGCAATAATGGCCTTGCCATCCGTGCCGTAGACGCTACCGCGGCCAGCACACACGTCGAGCAAGACAAGCGCGGCGGCGTCGACCGCGTCCGACGCCGACGTCGGCACGGGCAGCACGGGCACGTGGTCGTCGTTGAGGAGCGTGGCGAGGAATTCAGCAATCGCGAGCGCGGCTGGCGACCGGAGCTCGCTGTGCTTCAGAATGTAGTTGATGCGCGCGACAAGGAGCGCACGGGCAATGCCCTTGGGCAGCGACGCCGCCGCGGTCACAGGCACCGCGAGGGGCACGGCCTTGGACGCGACCGCCGGCGAGAGCGCGACGGGCACGAAGGCCTCGATCGCGACCTTGGCGCCGCAGAATGCGATGGAGCTGAGCTCCTCGAGGCTGAGCTTCTTGCTGCTGAGCGTGACCTTGTTGGCCATGATGATGCAAGTCCAAATGAGCTCCAATCGTGGCCCGTGGGGCTAGCCTGTATTTTTAAAAGCAACTACTTGTTGTTTGTATACAACATAAAACCACTGGATTTAATCGGCTTCCAGCACATTTTCTTGTGAGCGCCACGATCATCCGGATAGGCTGTGCCAGCGGCTAATCGCACGTAATTCACCGAGGGAGAGTGATGGTCGCACCGATGTTGCATGTGCCATCGGTTCTTATGGCGAACACGTGAGCAAGGAGAGATCGCTCTCGTCTGGTTGTGCGCCGTCGAGCGCACTTTGCAAGCTCCCAATGCACTGTCTTAGCGTCTGCATTATAATCGCGAAGACGACCATCAGGCTGCGTGCTGCTGGTGATGGGTCAATGGGACAACGCGAGACGTGCTGTCGACTGACCTCCGAGAAAACCGCGATGACGGCTATTGGGGCTTGAATGGGCTTTGTTGCAGCATGAATTTAGCGCCCGCCATGCAGAATGCGTCGACGTGAGCTACACAGTGAGGCGGCTCATAAGGCAGCGTCCCTACGAGGCATCAATGGTCGTACTTGGGTGACAGTTCAGAGCCGAGTACAGTGGACGAATGGACGCGATCATCTTGGTGCAGTCGTTATGCCAGCGGTTGTGACAGTGTGCGCCGATGATTCTCTGGCAGAGTGCACTGTAGGGGCCAAAGGACGCTAGCCAATGCGCGCTGCGGGCCAAGGCATCAAACAGTGTATTGAATCCAGTGCTTCCCACTGGAGGAGTGCGTGCGACGCGGCGAGTGGCGTGGATTTAGCCGCGACCAACCGACGCCGTCCAGGATCCGGATACCGTGCGTGCCAGTCGAACCGGTTGCGCGTCAAATAGTGTCATTTGAACAGGCGCGAAAGGTTTTTTAGTGTATTCATCATTGCCCCATGGCGAGCATTTCGGTCGGCGCGAGCTTGGGCGTGCGCAGCACGGCGCGGCCGGCCCGTGCAGCCCCCGCCGCCGAGGCCGACGGGCGCTGGGGACGTCGCGACAAGGTCTCGGAGGCGGCATGGCCGCAAGCCAACTTTATGCAGCGCATCGACTTTCCTGACGTCGACCACGCTACCGCGTCGCTCATGGTGCCCCACATCCTCGGCGCCAAAGGCGCCAAGATCTCGGCGGCGTCGCGCGCATCCAACAGCCGCCTCACGCTGCGCTACGGCAAGTCGGGCAGCGAGAAGAACAACATTGTGATCATTGGCACAACGCAGCTGCGGGTCGAGCACGGTGCGCGCCTGGCCAAGGAGCTCCTCGACGACGCGTTGAAGCTCGCGCAGGTGCAGCGCAAGTCCAACAAGCCGTCCAATGAGCTCAAGCGCCCAGCTTCGTCGATGACGAGCTCGTCGCCGCGCCCCATGTCGACGCGCCAGCGCGCACAGAGCCTCCCGAACCCGACGCACAAAAAACCATTGGCCCGTCCCGACGCTCTGGAAATCATCAGCGACTCGTCCGACTCGGACAGCGATTTTCCGTCGTCGCCTGTCCCGTCGACGCCGGAAGCCGCGCACCCGGAGATTGTCGACATGACCGGCGACGCCCCGCTCGTGCCGCCGCCGTTGCCGCCGCGTCCACCCATGGTCTCCGTCGCCACGGACACGGCCGACGACGCCATCGCCCGTACGTCCTCTCCATGACTTCATCTTGCAGAAACGTCCTGTCGTGACTGTAGCCCCAACGTCGTACCACGCGACGCTGCAGCATCTGCAGCACTCGATCGCGTCTGCGCTCGAGAGCGCCGATGACCTCCGGTACATGCCAAAGACGCGGAACCTGCAGCGATCGATCGTCGTGTCCAAGCGCAAGGTGGCTGCGCTCCAGCAGCTCCACACGTGGCATCAAGTGCACTTTCGATACCCAAAGCTGCCGATCCTGCCCGTGACCAAGCGCCTTCGCTGCGCGACGCCTGACGAGCTCCGCGCGCGCATGCGACCCGAGACGCGCAGTGCAGCACCAAGCCCACTACCGACGTTCCTCGCACCGCTCTTGCAGCAGCCCAAGCACAAGGCGCAGTGGCTCGGGCTCCAGCACTTTGTGCCAACGTACGTGCCATATTCGTTTCTCCAGCCGATTCGGATGACGCACCTCACGCTCCATGCACTGCGCGACCACATGTGTCCGCACCGGTCGCAGTACATTGCGCAGTACAACATCCTCGCGACCTCGATTCGGTCGCAACCGACGCTCCAGCTCGAGTACCTCATGCACCTCTGCTGCGCGCTCCGGCAGCTCGTCCGCGACCAGCTCGCGGTCGACGAGTGGCGCCGCCGCGGGTACGTTGAGCCCATGGAGCCGTCGGCGCCCGACCTCTTTGGCCAGCACACGTCGTGGAAGCTCCAGGTCAACCGCCGCATTTGTCGCAGCACGGCGCTGCACCCGATCGTCCAGCCGCTCCTTGTCGACACGTGCGCGTCGTTTCCGTTTCTCTGGAGCGTGCTCTCGGTCTGGACGACCGACGAACGCGCGAATTGGAAGACGCCGCTCGAAGACGCCGGGCCGCTCCAAGAGAGCGTTCGCACGGTGCTCAAGACCAACATTGGCAAGCTGGATACGCAGGCGCTGCTCACGTACGAAGGCCGCGTCCACAGCCGCGTGCACGCGTATGTGCATCTGCTCTCGCGCAACATGCTGCGTCGGTGGCAGCACCTCTTCACGATGCATCCAGAGCTGACGCTGATCGCGTGGTGGGAGCGCGACGGCGCCAAGCCGTGGTTTGACGAAGTCGCGCCGCCGACGCCATCGAGTGCGACCGACTCGGACGACGACGTGGTTGATGTGACGCCGGTCGCGAGTGCGTCAACGCTTTCCAACCTCCACCAGCTCCTCGCCAAGTGCCAGTCGCTCGCCCCGGCCATGTAGACCTTTGAGTAGAATCCAAATGCGATACTCGTACAACTAGACATA